CAAAGTATTGTTCAGGATAGGGTAAGAACCCTTTCTTGCTTTCGTTCCATCACCAGAAAAGTCCTCTTTATCACTTTTTCTCTTTAGTTTCTATCACTAAATCAATAAATTATAAGAAATGATCTTGTTGGAATGCACAAGATCAAGGGGATGTTGCTATGTTGTAGTGTAATTAAAGGATTTTTACTAAATATACAAGGAGAAATAGGATCTTGCTAGACATATGGGGGACTAATTGTACTTTAAATTTATTTATTACTTAAAAATTTAAGTTTCTCTTCGTGATCTGTACTGAGGAAGGAAGAGGTGTCATTTTTTCGGTATTATAAGGGGTGTCTCACAAGTCAGTTAACTATTGTAAAACAACTAATTGCTATCCTATTTAAATACATAATTACTTATAAGTAATATTTTGTTATTAATGGGTTATTTAAGTCTTTCTCCAAGACTTATCTTCATGTTTATCCTATTTTAAAAAGGGATGAAATATGCATTTTTCTTATGAATTTATGAAGGGATTTCTAGGAAAACAACGAAATAATTTGCTTTTATTTATAATTTAACTAAAAATTTTTTTGTTTTGTTTTTTCGCTTAGGAATGTCTACTTTAATAACTCACTTCTTATTCGGTTTAATAATGCAATTAAATATATGTCAACTCATTAACATTCAACTAATCAAAGTAAAGGGAGAAAAAACTAGTAAATGAACTGGTTCTAAATCAGTAACTAGTACTTCATCATCAACTATCTCGAACCTGAGGGATGGGTTATGTATAGGCCCGACCTTATACGACTCCACATACATTTGGCGACAGCCATTGGCCTACTTATTCACGTGATCGCAACCAGTGACGTGTAACTACGAATCTTGGACAAATATAAAAAGTATTTTTTTATACCAATCCTCTTTAGAGATGCAGAATTTCTCCCCACAACCTCCAATCAATACTTTGGCAAGTAAAGGGTTGCGCTTCATTATTCTCCATGTAAGTATTATCAGAAGACTTTTTCTGTGTTTTGTATACTTGTACAGAACTTTTAGAGTATTGATTTATATATTTTTAATTCTATTAAATGAAACAATTCCGTTTATTTAGCAGTAGAACTACGCATCTCTCACGAACACGCGAATCGTTATGCCGTAAAGATTATTTAATCTTCTTTAAAAAAAAAAAAAAACTTAATAATAAGAATTTCCGAGGCTTTTAGAAGGTATTTTACAACCTTTTGTACGATTATCTTCAATTTCGTGACGATAAATCCTGAAAAAATACATGTGTATCCATGTTAAATGTAGCGTGCTACGCAGCGGGTCGATTCTTCAAACACTTAAATAAACTATTAAATATACTCTAACCGGTTGTTTATGGTGTTTATACGCGTGGCATACGATAATAGAAGAAATAAAATATTTTATCTCAAAAATATAAATTATATTTCCCTTTTGCAACACGTTTTTTCATTGAAGATTCGTTACGTGTTACGTATGGTCAACCGTTCTCGTATGTAAAGTTAGGTCATTCGTGACGATTCTTTCCCTTTTATATTTTCGTCTTTTTTGACCTTTAAGTAGCGAAGGACGACTTATTTTCTTTATTTATAATGTAAATTATGGCGTGTTGTTACGCTGATTCCGTTAGTTGACAAGGTTATTGAAACTCTAACGTTTTTATTTAGCTATAAAACACGTTCAAGTTTCGATTTTCTTACCGAATATTTTAAGCTAATTTTTTATGTATTTAAATTAAAATTTATATAATTTTGAATGATTCCAAGTTTATGATAGAGTTTAGGGAGTATCATTGATTCTTTCTTACTTGAAAACCCTAATAGGACCTTATAATCTTATCTATTATGGATTCAGCCATTCACACAACAGGGACATGTAAAGAATAGGCAGCTCATTCTTGATGTTCTTCAACCACACTCGAATCTAAATCTGAGAGTAGCAAACTGATCCCTTCACAGCCTTATTTATCCGGCTATCTTACCAAATTATCCGTGCTTATGTAGTAATATACTATTGTTATACATGCCTCCTTCCGCTAGTTAGTTCTTAACACATGCGCTCATGTACATTAATTCCTAAATAAGTTTCCAATAAACGTTATTTGGATTTTTTAGAAAGTATTTGGCTTTTTTCCAATTTCATGATGCTAAATCTTCACACCCTTTGCTCCAATATTCCTCGAAAGTTTTCAATTACAATTGTATATAATGGTTCGATTTCGAATACAAAAGACCTCAAATACATAATGAACAATATATTATTTACGTGATGCCACGAACTCGTTCCAATATGTAAATTACTATCAAACACAATGTTCATGATCTAGAAGCACCGATAATATCTCTTTGACATGTTAATTAACTAAAATTCACTCGTTAATATTAATTGAAGAATGAAATTTTACAGGTATTCAATCTTATCTGTTAACAGTTCTCTGCTGGAACACTATAATTTGAGGGTAAACTTCAAATAACGTCACTGATCGTCACCCTTGACAGAATTTACAAATGGTCTTCTTTAGTAGCAACTCAGCAAGGGTGGTTTCTTTTTTTTTATCGTAAAGATAATCAAAGAAACACAGTAATTTATGACCAAAGAACACGCGAACTGCTTGAAAATTACTATGTTAATTTTGATTTTAACAATTTCACACGATTTTCTTCAAGATTTAATCCTTTGATAGCATTAAAAGATAATATATGCCATATTAAAAACTATAGCAATGGAAGCAAAACCCATTTCTAGAGAATAGAAATTTGTAATGAAGAAGAGGGAAGCCATTTTGGTTCTAATGGAATAAAATCAAAATGGCTACTCTAACGTTGAATTCCTTCATGGTTTTAGCTTATTATTATTATTATTATTTTTATTTTTAATTTATGTATCAGCTAAGTAACTAATTTAACTAAATATCAAGGACTTCCTACAAATACGTGAATCATATTTTTAACCTTTAACCTTTCATGTATAAAGAGATTTATGTTTAAATGTAATTATTATGATTAGTTTCAAGGATAATATTTATATATAATATTCAAATAGTTGTTAAGCTAAACTGTTCTCCACGTGACCTCAAAAAATGTTTGGCGGAAATAGAACTCCTCCGCCATCTGTGGACGAAATTACGAACTAAAAGGGTGAGTAAGAATTTCTAATTAACATAGGCCTATATTTTATTATTTTAAAATTAATTAATTAATAAATATAATAATAAAAAATTAATCATTTGAAAATATATAAAATTATGTTTTTTTTATTAGCTGTAAAAATACCACAAAAGATTTCATTAAATTACAAAGCAATTTTTTTTTTTTATGTAAAGTATAAAAAATGGCGTCACATAATCAACCAAACCATTGAAAAGAAGAAAAATCAATAGAATTTTATCGTTGGATCCGGTTTTCGTTAATGACTTGTTGAGCTTTCTCTACGTCTTCTTCAGTTAAGAATGGGATCTCTTCGTAACCAATATTATCGTTAACGTAATAGAAATCTTTAGCTTTCTCGCATGGGATTGAATCCTCTGGATAATTACAAGTTAAAGAAAGTTGATTGAAGATTGTTAGATTCCCACAGAAGAAACTATATTGCTCGCTCTCTTGGGTACCATCAGCGTGGGTTATCGGATTGCAAATGTGAAAAATCTTGCATTCGTTGTCTACATCAGCGTAGTAACCACGACCTAAACCTTCACAACTGAATGTAGTCTTGATTGATTCAACTATTAATTCGGCACCATCCGGTAAATCGTACGCTCTGCGCTTTACCTAATTAAAAAATAGAACCATTAACTTATATATAATGGTTCGATTTCGAATACAAAAGACCTCAAATACANCTTGGATTTTAAAGTAAAAAAGTATTTTAAAAAAGTATTTTAGAGATTAACTATTAAGAAGAAGAAAACTAAATAATAAACTATTTGATGGAATTGAGTGCCAAAAAATAAACAAACAATGGAGAAAATGAAAACACTTGTAGTATTAAAGACAAATTCCTCAGCTCTTAATATCAAAGATTAATTCTTTTATTTTAAAATCAAATTGCAATTACTATTAATAAAGCTGAACAAAACACTTAATGCAAAGCATTCAAATGTTTTCAAAATTATAGATATTGAATAATAGTATCTCATTACCATTTTTTTTAAATGTGAAACAGTACTCTGTAACAACACTGCATGTCTTATATTTCCCCTCTTTATATGGAAACAAAATAAAGATGGGAAATAAAAAGCTTGCATTGTTGTTACGCAGAACTGTTCCGCACAAAAATAAATGACAAATGATACAATGTGATTTCAGAAAATAAAACTGGAAATATATCTTTTACTTGTGCATAAATCAGTAATAATATTTAATTTCTCAATGAAATTAATTCTCAAAAGCATTATTTAGAGAAATTAATTAATTTAACTTGCTTAATTATTTATATATATATATATGTTGGTGTGAAATATTTAAAAAAATCATATTATTTAGAAATTTTTCTTATTATTTTAGTTCATATAATAATAAATAAATTTATGTTTAAAGCTTTAATATAACAAAAAAATGTATATATAATAGTCTTGCTATTTTCTTTATCTGACTTATAAAGCTTTGAGACTGATATAACTTATGTAAACAGGGTCAGATTTGCATGTAAGTTAAACAAGCTGTAGCTTAGGACCTCACATTATGAGTCTATAGTTTAGGGCCTCAAATTTTTACTTTTATCATTATTTGGTAGCAGGGATAAGGGCCTGTTTTGTTATAGTTTAGAGCCACAAGTTTAAGATTGGTCCTGCGTATAACCTCTACCAATATAAAATATTGTGTAGCTTATATGACAAGAAAAATCATTTTTACATTCAAAAAATTTTCTTCAATTTGATCTGATTTTAACTATGTAAAATTAAAGATGATACACTTTTTACTTTAAATTGTATTTTCTTAATTCTGAATATACTTTTCAGTTATAATTTTTATAATAGACAAAAGAAAAACATCAATAACAAGTACTTACTAAGGAAATGCTAGATCATTTACTTTACTGTCGTGGCAAGTAAATAATAAATCGCATTGAAAGTCAATTATATTAGCCCTATAAATATGACACGCTGCTGTCCCTATAAAAATCTAATTAAAAGACAATAAAATCAGATTTAAAATATTTAGTTTAAAAGATTTTTTGAAGATTCCTTAAAGAAAAAATAAATATTACTTGATTTCCTTCACCACGTAATGAAATGCTTGTAATTGCACCAATAATCTTTTCTTTTCTAATTAAAAATAAATAATATTTTTAAAATATTACTTAAATACTCATGTAAATCAATAGTATTTAATAATAATTACTGTATCTAGTTAGAGTAATTTGTAAGTAAATTTGTAATTTTTTTAAATTTATTAATTTCTCTAATAAGTTATTGAATGTTTGAAAACTTAATTATTGCATAAAACTATAAAATAAAGCAAGGTTAAAAATAAAACAGTTAAATTCAATTATAATGAATCATTCCAAAATCAAATTATTGTAATTTCCTGTGAATAAACTGTGGGTTGTCTGAATTTTAATGTCAGTCTGAAAAGGGTGCAAATTATCTGTCAATTTAAGTCACAATTATGATCTAACCCAACAGCTTTTGCTTTGTTTAAAATTACAAAAAGCATCTCTGAAACTTGTAAAATATCTTTTATACACTGTACATATCCATAACCCATCAAAAATGCATACAGATATGCTTCACATTTATATTGTCTTCTATTTTTTATATGTCAATCCATGTCTTATTTGATATCATTAGACACTCCTACTTAAATCTGTGACTTGAAAGTTGACAAATTTCAGTTAATTTCTCATAAATAAAACTATTTAAAAGTTGACTCAATTTTAACCTGTTAGTCCTCTACAGCAAATAAGAGCTAAGCAATCATTTCTAAAGTTTATATTGTTGTATATTGTATAGTCTGTGTATAATTTAGTAAAATTAACAATGACGACATTAATTGCAATTACTCTATTTACTGCTTCTTTGATTTATATTTGGTATGGCAATTATTTGTGCCAAGAGCCATTCTATACTTGTGTTGACTTCAGGTAGATTTATGAACATCTTTAATAATTTGATTCTTAAAAATCAATCATTGAAAGCATTCATAAATTTACTAGTTTTACAGATTTAGATAAAATATAATTAAAATATATTTACTTAATTTCTGCTAAGCACAGTTTCTTTTTAGTAAGAGATCCCATTTTTCCTTTAACTTTATTAGCACCTTGTTTTATGTTTAAAGGCTCATTTATGGTTTCTTGATAAACACGAACTAAAGTGCCATCGCCTGTCCCTAAGAGCAATTCGTTGGTTTTTAACCATACAATGGAATGAATTCCTGAAACAAACATAATTTTTCTGAAAAATTCTGTATAACACATTAAATTAATTTATTCTTTTCGGATAAATTTGATATAAATGTATAAAAATGGAAGTAAAGTAAACTTTCTCAATTTGTTCTATTGTCATACAGTATATGTATGAAAATATAGGTACTGTACAGATGTTATACAGTATACATTTTCATACAGTATCTGCATTTTTTATGTTTAAGATACATTGAGATACATTTGCACAAAGTTAAAATTGTGTGTGATGAATCTGTTATACGAGATTTCATTAAAAAATAACTTTTGTGTTATAGAAAGGCAAAACGCTTTAATATTTGAGGGTAGAGGCGAGTTTTTAAAAAATTGTAAGTGCCAATAACGAGTAAAATCTTCAAGTCCGACCACAATATCCCCTCGACCTTTAACCACCAAAATTTAACAGCATTAATGTCCATTATATACAAGCTGCCATGCCAAATTTCGTTTATTAACCATCCTGACATATTAAACAAAATAGACGCTAAAACGGGCGCACACAAACATATACAAAAAGAAGCGAACAGACATCCCCACGGAATTTTTTCCCTTTTACCTTTTTGGGTTCAGGGGTCGAAAAACGTCGAGATTTGTAAGAAACCCGGAGGGTCAAATTTGACACGATTACAATACTTCCCCGTGTTACATACATAAAAGTCGCAAAATAACTATGCTACTTTATAAATTTATTTCAAAAGAAAAACAAAAATGCTCACCCATTTGGTAATACTTGCTGTCACCTTTAATTTTCTTATTTATTTTTCTTTCCATTTGAAAAACCATGATCGGACATATGGATATTTCTTCACAGTCGCTCTTGATGTTCAATCGAATTTTAATAATATCTCCGGTAAACGTGCCGCAATATAAATATTCATCATTGGCATCGATCTATAAATGAAAAATAATTCGATGTGAATTTATATATATCCAATCCCATAGTATTTTTTTTTTTTTTTTAACTCTTTCTGCCCTGTGGACTCTAAGAGGGCCTCTTTTCAGCAAGCCCACAATGGTTAGGCCTGGTGGTGAAGGTTGGGGCCCGACATATCCTGACGGACCACTCCCCGAAAATTTCATGGGGATATTTCGACCCGTTCGAATCCCATAGTATGCTTCAGGATCCAGAGCATTTTTATGACGACTAAAATGTCAATAAACTTGAAAAGTACAGTAAAGTATTTTACATTCCTGTTTTAATTATGACGACTAGCACTAATATTCCGTACGCATTACACTAAACCGAGGTTTAAGGCCGGATGACCGAGTGATTAAGAGGAGCAGCCTACCGCTATGGGATTCCGACAGGTTTTTCGACTTGTCAGAACCCCCATAGCATTTCGGGTCATATCACTCAACACCCGGTTGCCCAATTGTGGACCTGCCCGAACTCGTAATGGGTTCGCTAAAAAAGGGGGAGCCCTCTTGGTGCCCACAGGGCGAAAACAGTTTACTGTATTGGCATTTTATTTTCACTGCGCGTCGCGACCTCAAAAAGTGATCGTATAACTAAATGTGGTGGTCGCAAAAACTTGACAATTATAAATTTTGTACAGCGTTTTCTGCATTGACGATTATAAAATCAAAATGGCGGTCAACTCAGAAAAATGTTGAAGATGCCCTGTATCCTGCAGTATCAAATATTCAGCCAAGATTTAATTCTATGTAAAAGTAAACAACCACACCCATCTCATTAGTATGAAAATTTGTTTTTGTCTTTAATAAATAATAAAATAAATATGTATATCAAAGAATTGTCTTGAAATAAATTGTTTTATGATTTCTTCTCAGTATGTGGTTTTATTTGTATACCTATTTTATATGCCTGTATACAGTCGGTGGCGAAAGAACAAAGTTTTTAATATAAATTTAAGTATTATATTATTATTACAATAGAAACTCTATTATCCGAACGGTTTGCAATAATAATAATAGAACGTGTAGCGTTGTACATATACAAAGATAAATTCTCCATATAATTGGAATTACTACGTCATCTGTCGATTACAGCGCCGCGAAACTAGATCATATACGTAAGCCTAACATTACGATAGATCTTGAGTAAATTAATTTAACTTCAAATACAGTAATTGTATTACAATATTTGTAGTGTATAAAGCTTTAAATTACAGTGCTGAGCAATCCAAAACACAAAAACGGGTTTCAAGATTAACCGAAAGACGCCGGTCCCATCACATTCGGATTATCGAGTTTCCCTGTAATATATATACATACGTGTATACACTGTGTATGTGTATTTGCTGAATATTGATTATAATTTATGGTCAATAGTCCTATAGTTAGCAATAGAATGAAAAGAGGCAAGGCGCATAGGGGCGCCATCTGAAAGCCATGGATATAACTTGTTATTTATTAGTATATATACATCAAATCTTTTTATATTTTTAATTTATAAATAATTAAAATATACTATTAGGCTATATTTGAGAATCCTAATCATTGTACAATCAGTGCTGTGCGATGTCTATAATTTTAACATCGATGTTTGCCTAGCATCGATGCTTGATCGATGCCCATTGGAACATCGATGTTCAATCAAGATAAACTCAAACAATTAAAAAAAATAATAACAAAACCAGGTTTGTTCGAACAGAAGTTCCTGACGCAGGCGCAATGTCATTTTACAATGCGAAGAATAACGTGCATGCCGGTTCTAAATCAGTTACAGTTAGGGACTAGGGACTTGCATAGGAGTAACGTAAGTAACCTAAATTAAGAAATAACAGGTACAGATAACTTAGCTCTATTTGATACGTGTACGATCGTACCTGCAAAAAAAAAGTCGACAGGGTTTTTTTTTTACTATTTCCGCCCTGTGGGCACTAAGAGGGCCTTTTATAGCAGGCCCATTATGGGTTCGGCCAGGCCTACAATGGGGCGACCGGGTGGTGAGGGACGGGGCCCGACATATCCGAACAGACCACCCCCCGAAAAATTCCTGGGGATTCCTTGACCCGTCCGGATTCGATCCCGGGTCCCCAGAGCGGTAGGCTGCCACCTTGACCGTTCGGCTATCCGGCCTCAAAGTCGACAGGTTGCGCGCCACAAGTCGGCGTAAACAGACTAACATGGCAGAGTTGCGGATCAGTTTCAATGAGTGTGAGTTCATTCACTGTTAAAATAGTGTAAATTTGTAAACATATTCGCAAGAACTTTGTTTCATCGCAATTTCACAATTTCTACGAAATTCCCGGACTGTCCAGGTGAAAACCGAACAGGTGGTAACACTAGGAACAAAGAATGAACTGCATGCATCGATGAATCAAAATTCACATATTGCTAACATCGATTCAGGATCGATGTTTCAAAAACATCGGAAGGTCGATGCATCGACGAACAAAAACATCGTTGTGTCGATGTCACATCGATGCATCGCACAGCACTATGTACAATATTTTCGGAGACAAAATCGTGAAGACAATAAAGCCATTAATAAATTTGATCACCTGGTTGAATAGTGACAAATACATTTAAAAATTGGATGGCTTTTACTTAAAAATATGTGATTATGTAATATATAAATCATTTAAAGTAAAATTATCATTTATCTCAGCTGATTATTTACTAATAAAGAAAACAGTTTAAAATCTAACCTCCAGGCAAATGATTTCTCTTTTGATGTAACCCATTCGAACACTTTCTGGAATAAGTTTCTTATTAAAGTTATTTAAATACCAAACTTTCAACGTTTCTCTGTAAAAATTTTTAAAAATGTAAGATTAAGTTGCACTAATAAAATATTAAATATGATAACTTTTGCATAATTTAAACTGTGTAAGCATGGCTGAATTAACCATTAAGCAAAATAAGCATCAAGAAAAGGGGCATGACAGAAATTTTTTATTTCCTAATTTACCATTTCGTGCAAAATTGAAAATGGTGCAACTGAACCAGAGTGCACAGAAAGGGATCCCCACAATAAATGAAAAAAATAAAGTACAGTATTTATTGGCGTATAAGGTTCACCTTTTTATTTTTAAATGTGTCAAAAATATATTTTATGTTTTATTATTATTTATATTTTGAGTTACAAGTATAATTTATGGGGGTATCAAAATTTTAAATGCATAGGACTTCTAAACGTCTTAATTCGGTCCTATTTACCTTCCACCTGTAACCAATACTTTATCGAATATGTTACCGCATTTCAGGATATTAGCTCTGCCTTCTTTACCAGTTGTTGCAGGCAAACCACACAAAAGTTTTCTATCTTCTATGTTGTAACAAACGATACTGTAAAATATTTTTCAATTATATAAATATATCAGAAAAAAATAATTCTTACATAATATTTATAAGACTGAAACTTACTTTCCATCGTCTTCGCCACCGAGGGAAAAAAGATAGCGATCATTAGGAGAAAAAGATAATGAAAGGACTTTTACTCTGTGAATAGTATATCTGTCGATTTCCTTTTTATCATGAAAATCCCAAAGTATCACACAAGTCTGTGTAATAATGTTATAAAAATTAATCCATATTCAATTAGAACGGATTAGAATATATTTTAAAAACTCACTTTATAATTCATGAGAGTTTCTTGGCCAGATGCTATATAATGCCCATTCTTAGATACTGCCAAACAGGTAATAGAATTTGAATGCCCATTTAAAAAACATTCTTTCTTGTGAAGAATATCCTTGATCACAATAGTATTTCCTAATCCATACAGTAAATGGATTTTATCCGGATGAACTATCAATCCATGTTTTATATTACCTAAAAGCATTAAAAATAAACAAAAATACCTAAAAGTGAAATTACAAGTCCATCCGAAAAATTCCAAAAGTTCTATGTCTAGGTCTTGAGTTCTTTCTATGACGAGCATGGCTTATATAATTTATTTTATTTTTAATTCTTTCCATGAGAGCACTTTTTAACACTTTGAGACTCTCCATATTAGTAGATACATGCTTAGTGCTCGTTCATGAAACGTCTAAGAGTCTGATCGGGACGCGAATAAAGGTTAAACTATTAGAAATTTTTATGCATGATTTGCCCTGATATATTGGGACGTCCCTTATTATCGGTCATCCATTTTGAGTTTGGTTAAACTCGTGATAAGCATGTTAAAATACTCTCTAAATGCTCATAGGACGATAAGAGTTCTTAAATAAAGTCAATAATAAAATACTGTATTTCAATTACCTTGAAATCCTATAGTTGAAATTAATTCCACATTTGGAAGAGATTCGTCAATATCATCATTTTTATCTAAGAAAAATAAAATATAAATATTAATCAATGGGTTACACACAACTTTCTGCTTCCTAATTTTCCATTGTAGTTTCTAGTACGATTCATTAATACTATGTAAACCGTGCCGCTTGATTGCCAACATGGAAGTGAATCGTGCTTCCATCAGGAGGACCGAATTAAAGATGTATGCTTTGTTCAGAGATGCTCTTGCCTTATATTAAATCGAATAATAATAAAAATGTTACATAATTATATTGGTAAGTTTCTATCTCTGAATGAGGAGTTGCAACTTCACTTATTCAGAGCTAGAATCTTACTTATTTCCTTCACTTTATAATAAATAAATAAATAAAAAAACAGTCGTGTTAAAATATAAATTTTTTGTATTTTTTTTACATGCTAGAGCAATTTACAAGGAATAAATACAGCAAGCCATCTCCATCTTTTATGCTCTCAACACTTGTCTTGATGGTGGGTTTCGAATTTTTGATTAAAATTCGAAACCCATCATCAAGATTTTTGATTAAAAGTATATGGATTTTTTTCATAGCAAATTATACAGTATTTCTTCACTAATAAAGAAAACAATTTAATGCTATTTTATCCGAGGGAAGTTTTTATCACTGTTATTATCCGGAAGTTTAGAATACAGAATGAATCTAAATTGAGAAAAATCGACTTTATACACTAAAAACACATTTAAAACTGTTACTTATTCTTGTTATTATCTATCTTTGATACATAGAATTTAACATATTAACTTACAGTTGTAACAATAATCACAATAAAAGGTTCAATACCTTCATTCTGTACTAACTTTATAAAACTTAGAAATAATCGATTTAAAATGCTGTATAAGGCTTTATACTCAAAGTTTATTAATCTATTAAGCTAATTATAAAAAGTATTCAAATACTAGAACTTAATCAGCATATCAGTAGTAAATATTCAGATGGCATTTACCTTTAAAACTGTCAATTAAAATGCTAATGTGTATCATAAATATTGATATTCCTATTATAAGAAAGGATAAATACAATGTTATATTTGGAGGATGGATCAACACAATGCTTACAATTACTTACATAGGAAGGGTGGAGTTAAATTAACGTATATTTTATATTTGAATGCCCTTTGTGTCGTTCACAAATAACATGTAGCCTATAATCTATTCAGAGATCCGATAGATCAATTAATTGTTGCGTGCTATGAAATTTGATACACAGCATACAATACTGTACTCAGACTTTGCCCTTCTTTCTACTGCACACCACAGTATCATCTTTGATATTTAATTAAGTATAAATTTCAGAATTTAGGTACTTAAAATCTGTAAAGGTTTGTTTATTTTTTAATGAACTAATTCATTTGTATTCGTTCTCCTCTTCCAGCCATCCTGAAAACAGACAAATCTGCATAATCAATGAATTAAAATAACCAAATTTTGCACCCATATTCGAATAAACTAATACGAAATTAATCAAATCCCGTTTTTACGATGGATTTAAACATTCTGACAATAAGCAAGCCTCCTTTTGTATGTTGACTATCTGCAGGGCTGGACTTAAAACTTGTGACCCTAAGTTATAATATATAACAAGCCTTTTTCTCTGATGATAGATGTAAAAATGCGAGGCCCAAGTTGCAACTTATGTGCAAATCCGACCCTGAGTTTAGGGCCTAGCATATTTACATATATCATCTGGTAGAGAGGAAGGGCCTGTTATATTATACTCACAAGTCTGTGTCAAGTTATACAGTTCAAAGTTATAATTCTTATTGATGACCCTCCTAAACTCGTTTAACGACGGTCGTAAAGCGGGGTAGGACAAACTTAATGCAAAATGTAATGGTAATCTCTTTAGATATTAAAATTTTAAAGTAATTAATATATTTTTTCTCCTCCTAATGATTCATTATGTCGTTATTTATATCAAAGTTAATTAAAATGTGAAAAAGTAATTAGAAAAAGAATTCTTACTGGAAAGCGCCATATTGCTTTTTTGTTAGGTTCTATTTAATACCGTTGCTATAGCAACATAAACATCAACTACAATTTAAAACACTTGTAAGAATTTGTATTTTTTGTTTTTTTTTTAATTCTGACATTAAATAACTGTTAACTTCTTTTATTATTATTTAAATCTCTAAATGTATAATTAATATCATTATAAATATTTATAATGAAAGATTCAATAACAATTATTAAAATATAAACATTTGACAGAATTTTTTTTTTAATGTAAATGAATTAAAACTTTAAACAATGTCAAGAAAAAATTGATAAAATCCTTAAGAATATTTCTTTTTAAATGTATAATGCTTTACATTAAGTATTCATTTTTTGTATGTTAACCATCAACATCAATATTGTTACCAATCAAATTAATATAAGAATTAAAATTTCTCACAAATTAATTATTATTTTAGTAATTTTGGATTAATATCAATTTACTTTTCTTAATTTGTAATGGATATTTGCAAATTAATTAAAATTACTTTACACTTATAAGCAGTGCTGCTGCCTGCTTCTGGTGGAACTACCTGGCGGAGCCTTCTTTTTACCCTAGATTACCATAAATTGAGGAAACTCTCCGAGCTCGAACTAGAGCTCACACTCACATAAGACGCAGATCTATAATTCTATGACGCAGATCCCTGTACTATTATCGTGAAATAATAATCAGAACAATTCTTAATTCATTGTTTTTAAAAATCTTAATAACTAAAATATCTTAGGATTTTTAGGCTTTATCAGAGGTATTAATTTACATCTGATATGGAGTGCCAATGGTCCAATGGCATGAAGGTTGAAAAAAGTGAAATCCTACTAGGGTGTAATATACAGTGTACACCTGTGTACCTAGCACCAATAGGCTTTATTTCTTTAGCTTCTGTTGTCCTATCCTAAAATCCTCCAGCTATAGGGGAAAACAGAACAGTTTTAGGCTAAAACTTTTTCTGGCAAAACTTATGCGATGGGTAATAACATCAGATCATTGAGCAGGTTTACCCTAGATTTACCCTAAATATAAAACTACCCTAAACATTACCCTGAGAGGTTGAAATTACCCTAGAAACAGCAGCACTGCTTATAAGTTTTATAGAATCTCATTACTAGTTTCTATTTGTTTACGCTATTCCTAGAATTCTCTGATGCATGGCCGCGAACTCCGCTGGCGGTACACTGGGAACAGAGCCGGCACACCCAGCGACCGCTCGGTATGCTTTTCAGACCCACGCAAAATGTGTGATAGCCCCTGTCACAGTTATCACAGAACATCATTTTGTCTTCGTCATAAGGATCCATACACAACATGCAAGTTTTACAGTCCATACATTGCCACGGATAAGTTTTAATAGCTTCTACCATCGAAGACGACAAATCTAAGCAGGAAGGATGGTTACTGTTATTACATTCAGAGCAATGTATCAGTTCTTCTGACTTTCCTTCTTTATTTACTTCACTGTTTCCTTGACACACTTTACAAATTGCATTTGGTTTATGTTTTTGTCTATATGTTGTCGGAGGAATGAGGATATTTTTCTGGGATACAGAATATGTACTACTCTTCGATTTTGTCATTTCGGATCCTGAACTACTCTCTCCGCTACCGTGCGTACACTGACTTGATGAACAAGAAATTTCGGATGCAGAGCTTTCTTCTGAATCCGACTGGCTTCCATCCGAACTGGGCTGCACGTAAACGGTTCCTAATTCTTGTGGAGGGCCGTATAATACTGTGTTAACCGGTAAATACTTTAATTCTTGGGAACTGTATTTCCTATAATAATCCTGATACTGACCCGGTAAAAGAGCAACCGGATATAATCCCATCGTCGGACCATCCTTGTTAAGTTTAGTTATTCTATTATTAGGGTAATGGATAGTATATGTTTGTAAATCAAATGATGCTTTCCTTTCTTCTTTTCTTTCATGATTTAAATGCGTATTATATTCAGCAGCTGAATGAACAGCTTTTTTAACAAACTCAGACATTTTATTTTTATCTACATTAGGAGGAGCATACTCCTTAAACTTTTCGCTGACAGACTGTCTTTCCTTTTCTTGTAACATTTGAAGATACTCATGAAATTTATCAGGAAAATCCTTACTGATTAATTCTAAAATATCATCAGCTTTTATGGCGGTGAGACCGAGCTCACACTGCATCTCGGACACGACTCCCTTCTCCTTCAAGTACCTCCTCTCTTCAGGCTCCACGACTCTTCTAGTGAGATCCGGATACCTTCTCCTAAAGGATTTAATACATAAAAAGTCAGAGATCTGTTCTTGTAGTATGTAATAATCTCCTTTCCCGACCGGCCACTGATATTCAAATAGATCATTTATGTTGAAATGTCTAGTCGTATTGGCCACTTCGTCGTCAAAGTATCTTCTTTTGAAGGAGCTTCGGTAACTTCTATGACTGCTGAAGCTATTCTGAGAATCTTCATCCAGAACGACCTCCTTTAAGTTTCCTGATGTATTCCTGCAGCTGTCGACACTCCACGAGCTTCTTGCATCTTCCTCGAAGCACTGAACACCTGATGCTCGCTTCCTATACAAATCAGGAACCAAACGAGGCGTTAAAATCATTTTGGGACGATCTAAAATACTTTCCATAATTCCCTCCGAAGGAAACGAATTAAATGAATCGCCGCTCTCCATTAGTTCGGATCCACTTAAATAATTATTTGCTGCCCAAAATGAATCTTCGCTCATTACGAATAAATCGTTATTTCTTTATCTAAAAACAAGCTCATCTCCTCTCCTGATCTAAACATTGTAAAAAAAAATAANCTATATCCGGACGGACCACTCCCCGAAAATTTCATGGGGATATTTCGACCCGTTCGAATCCCATAGTATGCTTCAGGATCCAGAGCATTTTTATGACGACTAAAATGTCAATAAACTTGAAAAGTACAGTAAAGTATTTTACATTCCTGTTTTAATTATGACGACTAGCACTAATATTCCGTACGCATTACACTAAACCGAGGTTTAAGGCCGGATGACCGAGTGATTAAGAGGAGCAGCCTACCGCTATGGGATTCCGACAGGTTTTTCGACTTGTCAGAACCCCCATAGCATTTCGGGTCATATCACTCAACACCCGGTTGCCCAATTGTGGACCTGCCCGAACTCGTAATGGGTTCGCTAAAAAAGGGGGAGCCCTCTTGGTGCCCACAGGGCGAAAACAGTTTACTGTATTGGCATTTTATTTTCACTGCGCGTCGCGACCTCAAAAAGTGATCGTATAACTAAATGTGGTGGTCGCAAAAACTTGACAATTATAAATTTTGTACAGCGTTTTCTGCATTGACGATTATAAAATCAAAATGGCGGTCAACTCAGAAAAATGTTGAAGATGCCCTGTATCCTGCAGTATCAAATATTCAGCCAAGATTTAATTCTATGTAAAAGTAAACAACCACACCCATCTCATTAGTATGAAAATTTGTTTTTGTCTTTAATAAATAATAAAATAAATATGTATATCAAAGAATTGTCTTGAAATAAATTGTTTTATGATTTCTTCTCAGTATGTGGTTTTATTTGTATACCTATTTTATATGCCTGTATACAGTCGGTGGCGAAAGAACAAAGTTTTTAATATAAATTTAAGTATTATATTATTATTACAATAGAAACTCTATTATCCGAACGGTTTGCAATAATAATAATAGAACGTGTAGCGTTGTACATATACAAAGATAAATTCTCCATATAATTGGAATTACTACGTCATCTGTCGATTACAGCGCCGCGAAACTAGATCATATACGTAAGCCTAACATTACGATAGATCTTGAGTAAATTAATTTAACTTCAAATACAGTAATTGTATTACAATATTTGTAGTGTATAAAGCTTTAAATTACAGTGCTGAGCAATCCAAAACACAAAAACGGGTTTCAAGATTAACCGAAAGACGCCGGTCCCATCACATTCGGATTATCGAGTTTCCCTGTAATATATATACATACGTGTATACACTGTGTATGTGTATTTGCTGAATATTGATTATAATTTATGGTCAATAGTCCTATAGTTAGCAATAGAATGAAAAGAGGCAAGGCGCATAGGGGCGCCATCTGAAAGCCATGGATATAACTTGTTATTTATTAGTATATATACATCAAATCTTTTTATATTTTTAATTTATAAATAATAATTATAGGTAATTTGGCTATTTTTGCAGCGACGTAACCGGAAATTAGTTGAAACAGATGATAATCGTGTAGCGTAACACGTGGTTTGTAGAAATGCTAATGCCATGTTCAAGAACTGTGTTTTTGGCTATTTTTTTGAGATTTCAGTTATATATACTCGTATATAAACAATTATAGAACATATTTAAATATCTGTATATTTAAATTACATTTATATATACCACAAATGGATTTTCAAGAGATTCCGCATCGTTTTTTGAAGGGAATAACTTTTGGAATCTATTCGTCCGAAGAATTACGTAAATTCAGCGTAATTGAAATTACAAGCATTAAAACTTTTGACGCTCTCGGACATCCAGCAGCAAATGGCTTACATGATCCAGCTTTAGGTGAGGTTTAATTACCATTTCTATTTGTTTGCATTATTTCCACAGATTTTAATTGAAATTTATAAAATTTACAGGCCCTTCTGAATTCAATGAACTCTGTAAAACGTGTGGACTAAGTCAATTTCATTGCCCCGGACATTTTGGACATATTAATTTGCCATTGCCTGTTTTCAATCCATTTTTACTTACTATTTTACATAAAGTAAGTGTTTGTGTAATTTAGTCGGTTAAATTTCAGATGTGTATACTGTCATGGTGGCAGTCCCGACTGTTCATACTCCCGACTGACTCCTCCCGGAGGGGAGCCGCTGGCAGGCCGACTTGTGCCAAATGTCACTAGTTATTGATTCATGATAGTACTTGAACACACGTATCAATAACTAGTTTGAAGTGCTGCCATGACAGTATACGCATCTGAAATTTAACCATTTAGTCTTAATAAGTATTATAAAAGTGTCGAATATTATCTAATTTAATAAAATTAGCTAAAATAATTTAAAGATTCTGATATTTAATCCAATCCAGCTTATCAGTTTTTAATTCTTTTACTCAGACTCATTCGTAAAAGCGTAATACGAGATTTAGTCAAAAAGTTCCAGGACTGGTGATATGGCGCTACAATCTGCCACATGCTGAACTTGTGCGAACTAGGATGTGTAATAGACAATATTATTCAGTTTTCTGCCAAATTTCATGCCATTATCTTACGTAGTTGTTGTTTCTTGCTATTTAGGTTAGATCTGTGTTCTTGCCAATTTACAATTTTCATTGATTTGTAAAATTAATCGTTTTAAGGACTGTATGAGTGTGAAATTTTTATTTCAAACTTGGCAAGACTGTAGAAGAAAAGAAACTGATTACAGGAGACAAAACATGAATTTACAGCCATGAGCCTGACACCAAACAATTGACTTGGTAGAAAAATCGTGGCTCAACTAGACCAAAGAAAGCATGCCAAGTAAAGTTTAATCTCAAGAACATGCTCGTATTTTTTTTCAATAGGGAGGGAAATTTCTTCGAGAATTTGTTCCACAAGGTCAAGCAAATTTTTATACAGATGTTTTGACATGTCTGCATGATAATGTCACAGATGAAAAAGACCAGATCTTTGGAAAGCTCAAAATGTGTTGTTTTATCATGACAATGCCCCTGCTCACACAGCTCTCTCTATTCTACAGTTTCTTGCCAAAGATAAAATGGCTGTGGTGCCCCATCTTCCTTATCTACCAGATTTGGTGCCATATGACTTTCTATTTCCATGGCTGAGAAGTGCCGAAAGGCAGTGATTTAAGAACATTGATGGCATTGAAACACAATCGCAGCGAATGCTTACCATCATCATGAAAAAAGTGTTCCAGAAATGTTTTGAAAACTAGGAGAAATGCTTGAATCTATGTATAGCTGCAGAGGGAACTTATTTTGAAGGTGACAACTCAATAAATTAATATGTACGTCAGACATTTTTTATTGGACCAGTCCCAGAACATTTTGACTGTACCTTGTACATATTATTGGAGCTGTTTTTCAGCTGGTATGTGCCAGTATGCCATACCAGCAGACAGTACAAAAGTATTGATGGCCAGTATATTGGCAGCTGCTTAGTAAGAAACAGTTCTATCATCTGATTATAGAAGCAAGGTTTGAGCCACAACTTCCTTAAAATTCTATTTCTGAAACAAGTTTTTGACTAGGGCAGTCTAGTCTGCAGATGATAAATTGATAATAAAAATCATGGATTAAAGGCAAGCCTAAACTGCAACTTAAATTGTCAAATGTGTGATTTAGACAAAGAAATAATCGTTTTAATTTATTTAGTTTAACATAAAAATGGATATTTGTGACAGATTAAATCAATAAGAACATAGAAATAATAACATGATCAGCGTTAAAAAAATATATATTAAGGAATCAAATCCACTTGAAATTTATCCTGACACTAAATCCAGGATAGACAAGTTTTAAAACCTTGATTTGTCTATATTTTACACACTATACAACATGGATTTCAGCATTTTAATAAGGCTTGATCTTTAAGATCTGATTGGCAACTATTACTGTATTTAATAAAGTGATGTGAAAATAAATATGTATAATTAACAGCTGTTTCTTTTTATATAGTATGATTTTTTCAAAATATCAATTAATAACAGCCTTTCAATTATCCCAGATCTTGATCTATTCTTATGGTAAATGACAAGAAATTATGAATTTTCTGCCATGCATGTTTTTTAGTATTTGTCAAATGTATGTTATATCCTTTTTCTTCTGTTTCTAGGTGAACCTTAATTAACTATTAAAGCTGTATCCTCATCAAAAAAGTTTTTTGCTGACTGTACTACTAGCTCTTATTTTCTGCCATCTCTGATCTCATCACGAAAACATTAATTGCTTAAAAATGTTAAAATAACAGGGAAGAGCATTCATTAAGCCACAGTTCTGTTAAGAATATTTTTATTTGTATTTGTTACAATATGTTTTAAGAGAGAAATATTGTCTGGTAATTGTCTGACTGCTACATCTTTGTCAAGAAACAAGGTATAGAGAAGTGCTAATGATGATTTGAATGGGAAAGTTAAAAATGTGGTTACTAAAGGCAACTGTAAGATAGATATATACAAAAAAAATTTGTAAAAGTTTTATACACTTGAATAATTACATATTTTTTTTTCTAAAAAATAATCAGTTTGCAGTTTATTTGAAACACATTGGGTAATGCAATCCACAAATTCTAGAGAGCTTCCAGTTATCCGTCACTGTATATTTTACTTATATAGAATATAAGTAAAAGTAGAATATAGTTGATAATTACAAGTAATATTGAATGAGGATAAATAAAATATTTCTTGAGGCAGTGGCCTCTTCCTTCTCTGGATTGATAATCATTGTACGGAAGATGATATACTAGCCATTGAGATAACTTACTTGGAATAATTACTGCATCTTTAATGGTGGAATTTTTGGAAGTACACTAATGTTTTTAACCCTGTTAATAGATTAAAAAAAATTAACATTCTTCCAAAAATTTCACCATTAGAGGTACCGTAATTAGTTTGGTAACCATTGTAACTTGAATGCAAGCGATTGTTTCTCTGTACTTAAAACATCTAAAATTATGGTTTATAAATTCACTCAATCAGAAAAATAAGTTAAATATACAACTGAGACTGACAGCAAATAATCTATATACCTACAGTATATTATCTCTAAGTTTAAACTATTGTCCTATTAGCAATTTCTCACCTTAGATTTTTGAATTAAACAATATAAAGAAGTCTTGCTTTCATTCATTCAGTAAGCTAATTCATTATAAAATACATTATAATAATTTTGCAAATAATTTATTTTTACCCAATATACAAATAATTTTTCTTTTCCTTGATACTTTTATCTTTTAATATTGGACTTTAAATTGAGCACAGCCACATTGAAGGGTCAGGGAATTTGTGCAAAGTTGGTCAGGGAAAGTCATGAAATTTAAAATGAAAATTTGAGTAGGAACCCTATACAGCAGTGTTTTTCAACCTTCTTGAATACGCGACCCCTTTACAAGTTAAAAATTTTGGCGATCCCCACAGGACCATATTAAAACTATATCATTGATTTTAAAATCTACATATTTAACTTTCTTTCTGTTGAGACCTAAATATCAATCGAAAATCCAATTGTACTGTAAAATAAACAGGCCCAGCCTTCTCAACGAAATTGTAGGTTTACTTTATTGTAGTGTAGGACCTACAAACACTTGTCTTTTTTTTTACCTGCGACCCCCCGTGTAAGGCTTTGTGACCCCTCTGGGGGTCGCGACCCACAGGCTGAAAAACACTGCTATACAGTATAATGTTGGGCAAAATATAGGCAATAATAATAATGAATTACTGATTAATTTGTCTTTAGAGGGAAGTGTTAGGCGCCATCTTGTATTAAATTTAATAATTATAATTTAATTAAATAATTTTAGGATAAACTGGAAGGAAAGAATTGGCCCGGAGTTGGATTCGTATCCGTAACTTTGCCATGCGGAAGTTGCAGGTTCAAGAACTAGAAATCGTAACTTGTTAACTTATTATTGATGAGTGTAACAAGTTTGGAAAATTATACTGCTTTTAATGGAAATGCCATGAAATTGCAATGATGAAAATGGTTTACAAGCAGAAAAACATGTATTTATAATGAAACAGTTTTACCAGACTAATTATATTATCAATGTTCAGCTTTGATTTGAATGAAATTCAAGTGCAGAATAGAACCAAATAAGTTTGCAATAAACTGAGTAATGGAGAAGTTTGAAAAATAGGGAGTGTTAGTAAGAAGTCTTTTGGAATATAAGAAAGCATTTTGTATGTTGTGCAAGTATTGATAAGAAATATAATGGTACATTCAAAAAGTTTTACAGAATAGATTTTTGTCATGTTTTTTATTGAATATATACATTTAGACAAGACTATCCTTAAAGTATTCATCTTCTATGACAACGCACTTTATCCAACAGTTGTACGGTTTTTTAAAAATGTCCTGGAACCTGAAATGCATTTTCTTCAGCAGAAATTATCTATCTCTATTGATGAATTATTGGTCTTTTATATATGTTTCAATGTGGGGAAGGAGGTGGACCTTGTAAGCTGCAGATAATGTTTCCAGAATTTGTTGAGGTGTCTTTAAAAGGACACAAAATTTAATGTTCTTTGTTCAATACTAGAAGTTTTATATTCTATAGTCCAAAATATCATTTTCATCATGTCACAAAATGCATGTACTATACAGTAGAACCTCGGTTAACGAACTTAATTCATTCCACGACTCTGTTCATTAACCGAATTGTTTGTTAACCAAAGCAATTTTTCCCATAAAAATTAATGTAAATACAATTTATCTGTTCTATCCTCTAAAATTTTTGTAATTTTATTTGTGAAATGGGTTTTCTTTGATGAAAATATAGGAAAACATAGTATCTATAATTACAGCAACAAACATATAAACTTTATTTAATAAAATAGCACTGTACAGTACATACCTTCATTTGTTGTAGTTGGTGGCAGAGGAGTGATGTACAGAGCTTGGTACATTAGGAACTCTAAGCTACCAAGCTTAGAGTTCCTTCTAAGCTTGGTAGCTTAGAAGGAAAACCCCTCCAAAACAATAACGGGTAGCATTCATTGGGGATTCTTTGAGTCAAGGTCTCTTTTGGTAAGGAACAAGAAATTGATCTAAAGTTAATTGTCTTACTCTTTTAATTAAAATTTTTCTCAAATGCAATAGTGCATTGTCATTCATATCATATNAGGGGGTGTATCAAGCACCGGGCGCCACTCGCAGAGGGGCGCCCAAATGGTCTCCAAGACAAACTATATGTGTTTCTGGAGGGGGCGCCAATAAAGTGTCGTGCCCCGAGCGCCAGTTATGTTCGCTACGCTACTGACCAAGGGGGCGCCATAATAGGATCTCGCTCCATCCTAAAACTTGCCTCGGGCCGGCACTGTTCAGTAGTAATTACCGAATAAAAAGCAAATTGTGGGATGTTCCCCATGAATCCCAAGTTCGGGGAATTTTGCCCCATCATCCGCCTCTCGTCGCCCCTGACATGAAGATCTAAAACGATGAAGTACAGTTCGGTTGGCGCTCGGCGACAACCTCCGACCGAACGCTTTCAATATGCCGTTTAGTAAAATCGTTATAAAATGTTTTAATCCGCATAAATTTGAGCTTTTGTTAACATTTTGAATACAAGTCATTCGTTTCTAGACCTAGTAATTTTTTTCTAGGAGCGTCTGCAGTGCCGGATGAAGAAAAGAAGAAAATACTGCTTTTTCGGCGTTTTTTACACTTTTCAATTGTTTATATTTCGGCAATCCTTTCGTAGAAAATCCTGAAATTTTGCACACTATCTAAGAAAACGATTATCTTTCGAATGCGATATTCACAATTAACTTTAAACGATTGGGGGCAGAGAAATCGACCCCGAAAATCCGCAACTCTGATTCTTGAGTGACTTTTTACTTGGCGCGGAGTCACTACCGTGTCTCCATACATATATAAAAAAAGATAAATAATTATACTTTAAATTAGATGAATAAATATTAATTTAAAACCTTTATAATTTATAAATAATAATTATAGGTAATTTGGCTATTTTTGCAGCGACGTAACCGGAAATTAGTTGAAACAGATGATAATCGTGTAGCGTAACACNAAGAATGAACTGCATGCATCGATGAATCAAAATTCACATATTGCTAACATCGATTCAGGATCGATGTTTCAAAAACATCGGAAGGTCGATGCATCGACGAACAAAAACATCGTTGTGTCGATGTCACATCGATGCATCGCACAGCACTATGTACAATATTTTCGGAGACAAAATCGTGAAGACAATAAAGCCATTAATAAATTTGATCACCTGGTTGAATAGTGACAAATACATTTAAAAATTGGATGGCTTTTACTTAAAAATATGTGATTATGTAATATATAAATCATTTAAAGTAAAATTATCATTTATCTCAGCTGATTATTTACTAATAAAGAAAACAGTTTAAAATCTAACCTCCAGGCAAATGATTTCTCTTTTGATGTAACCCATTCGAACACTTTCTGGAATAAGTTTCTTATTAAAGTTATTTAAATACCAAACTTTCAACGTTTCTCTGTAAAAATTTTTAAAAATGTAAGATTAAGTTGCACTAATAAAATATTAAATATGATAACTTTTGCATAATTTAAACTGTGTAAGCATGGCTGAATTAACCATTAAGCAAAATAAGCATCAAGAAAAGGGGCATGACAGAAATTTTTTATTTCCTAATTTACCATTTCGTGCAAAATTGAAAATGGTGCAACTGAACCAGAGTGCACAGAAAGGGATCCCCACAATAAATGAAAAAAATAAAGTACAGTATTTATTGGCGTATAAGGTTCACCTTTTTATTTTTAAATGTGTCAAAAATATATTTTATGTTTTATTATTATTTATATTTTGAGTTACAAGTATAATTTATGGGGGTATCAAAATTTTAAATGCATAGGACTTCTAAACGTCTTAATTCGGTCCTATTTACCTTCCACCTGTAACCAATACTTTATCGAATATGTTACCGCATTTCAGGATATTAGCTCTGCCTTCTTTACCAGTTGTTGCAGGCAAACCACACAAAAGTTTTCTATCTTCTATGTTGTAACAAACGATACTGTAAAATATTTTTCAATTATATAAATATATCAGAAAAAAATAATTCTTACATAATATTTATAAGACTGAAACTTACTTTCCATCGTCTTCGCCACCGAGGGAAAAAAGATAGCGATCATTAGGAGAAAAAGATAATGAAAGGACTTTTACTCTGTGAATAGTATATCTGTCGATTTCCTTTTTATCATGAAAATCCCAAAGTATCACACAAGTCTGTGTAATAATGTTATAAAAATTAATCCATATTCAATTAGAACGGATTAGAATATATTTTAAAAACTCACTTTATAATTCATGAGAGTTTCTTGGCCAGATGCTATATAATGCCCATTCTTAGATACTGCCAAACAGGTAATAGAATTTGAATGCCCATTTAAAAAACATTCTTTCTTGTGAAGAATATCCTTGATCACAATAGTATTTCCTAATCCATACAGTAAATGGATTTTATCCGGATGAACTATCAATCCATGTTTTATATTACCTAAAAGCATTAAAAATAAACAAAAATACCTAAAAGTGAAATTACAAGTCCATCCGAAAAATTCCAAAAGTTCTATGTCTAGGTCTTGAGTTCTTTCTATGACGAGCATGGCTTATATAATTTATTTTATTTTTAATTCTTTCCATGAGAGCACTTTTTAACACTTTGAGACTCTCCATATTAGTAGATACATGCTTAGTGCTCGTTCATGAAACGTCTAAGAGTCTGATCGGGACGCGAATAAAGGTTAAACTATTAGAAATTTTTATGCATGATTTGCCCTGATATATTGGGACGTCCCTTATTATCGGTCATCCATTTTGAGTTTGGTTAAACTCGTGATAAGCATGTTAAAATACTCTCTAAATGCTCATAGGACGATAAGAGTTCTTAAATAAAGTCAATAATAAAATACTGTATTTCAATTACCTTGAAATCCTATAGTTGAAATTAATTCCACATTTGGAAGAGATTCGTCAATATCATCATTTTTATCTAAGAAAAATAAAATATAAATATTAATCAATGGGTTACACACAACTTTCTGCTTCCTAATTTTCCATTGTAGTTTCTAGTACGATTCATTAATACTATGTAAACCGTGCCGCTTGATTGCCAACATGGAAGTGAATCGTGCTTCCATCAGGAGGACCGAATTAAAGATGTATGCTTTGTTCAGAGATGCTCTTGCCTTATATTAAATCGAATAATAATAAAAATGTTACATAATTATATTGGTAAGTTTCTATCTCTGAATGAGGAGTTGCAACTTCACTTATTCAGAGCTAGAATCTTACTTATTTCCTTCACTTTATAATAAATAAATAAATAAAAAAACAGTCGTGTTAAAATATAAATTTTTTGTATTTTTTTTACATGCTAGAGCAATTTACAAGGAATAAATACAGCAAGCCATCTCCATCTTTTATGCTCTCAACACTTGTCTTGATGGTGGGTTTCGAATTTTTGATTAAAATTCGAAACCCATCATCAAGATTTTTGATTAAAAGTATATGGATTTTTTTCATAGCAAATTATACAGTATTTCTTCACTAATAAAGAAAACAATTTAATGCTATTTTATCCGAGGGAAGTTTTTATCACTGTTATTATCCGGAAGTTTAGAATACAGAATGAATCTAAATTGAGAAAAATCGACTTTATACACTAAAAACACATTTAAAACTGTTACTTATTCTTGTTATTATCTATCTTTGATACATAGAATTTAACATATTAACTTACAGTTGTAACAATAATCACAATAAAAGGTTCAATACCTTCATTCTGTACTAACTTTATAAAACTTAGAAATAATCGATTTAAAATGCTGTATAAGGCTTTATACTCAAAGTTTATTAATCTATTAAGCTAATTATAAAAAGTATTCAAATACTAGAACTTAATCAGCATATCAGTAGTAAATATTCAGATGGCATTTACCTTTAAAACTGTCAATTAAAATGCTAATGTGTATCATAAATATTGATATTCCTATTATAAGAAAGGATAAATACAATGTTATATTTGGAGGATGGATCAACACAATGCTTACAATTACTTACATAGGAAGGGTGGAGTTAAATTAACGTATATTTTATATTTGAATGCCCTTTGTGTCGTTCACAAATAACATGTAGCCTATAATCTATTCAGAGATCCGATAGATCAATTAATTGTTGCGTGCTATGAAATTTGATACACAGCATACAATACTGTACTCAGACTTTGCCCTTCTTTCTACTGCACACCACAGTATCATCTTTGATATTTAATTAAGTATAAATTTCAGAATTTAGGTACTTAAAATCTGTAAAGGTTTGTTTATTTTTTAATGAACTAATTCATTTGTATTCGTTCTCCTCTTCCAGCCATCCTGAAAACAGACAAATCTGCATAATCAATGAATTAAAATAACCAAATTTTGCACCCATATTCGAATAAACTAATACGAAATTAATCAAATCCCGTTTTTACGATGGATTTAAACATTCTGACAATAAGCAAGCCTCCTTTTGTATGTTGACTATCTGCAGGGCTGGACTTAAAACTTGTGACCCTAAGTTATAATATATAACAAGCCTTTTTCTCTGATGATAGATGTAAAAATGCGAGGCCCAAGTTGCAACTTATGTGCAAATCCGACCCTGAGTTTAGGGCCTAGCATATTTACATATATCATCTGGTAGAGAGGAAGGGCCTGTTATATTATACTCACAAGTCTGTGTCAAGTTATACAGTTCAAAGTTATAATTCTTATTGATGACCCTCCTAAACTCGTTTAACGACGGTCGTAAAGCGGGGTAGGACAAACTTAATGCAAAATGTAATGGTAATCTCTTTAGATATTAAAATTTTAAAGTAATTAATATATTTTTTCTCCTCCTAATGATTCATTATGTCGTTATTTATATCAAAGTTAATTAAAATGTGAAAAAGTAATTAGAAAAAGAATTCTTACTGGAAAGCGCCATATTGCTTTTTTGTTAGGTTCTATTTAATACCGTTGCTATAGCAACATAAACATCAACTACAATTTAAAACACTTGTAAGAATTTGTATTTTTTGTTTTTTTTTTAATTCTGACATTAAATAACTGTTAACTTCTTTTATTATTATTTAAATCTCTAAATGTATAATTAATATCATTATAAATATTTATAATGAAAGATTCAATAACAATTATTAAAATATAAACATTTGACAGAATTTTTTTTTTAATGTAAATGAATTAAAACTTTAAACAATGTCAAGAAAAAATTGATAAAATCCTTAAGAATATTTCTTTTTAAATGTATAATGCTTTACATTAAGTATTCATTTTTTGTATGTTAACCATCAACATCAATATTGTTACCAAACAAATTAATATAAGAATTAAAATTTCTCACAAATTAATTATTATTTTAGTAATTTTGGATTAATATCAATTTACTTTTCTTAATTTGTAATGGATATTTGCAAATTAATTAAAATTACTTTACACTTATAAGCAGTGCTGCTGCCTGCTTCTGGTGGAACTACCTGGCGGAGCCTTCTTTTTACCCTAGATTACCATAAATTGAGGAAACTCTCCGAGCTCGAACTAGAGCTCACACTCACATAAGACGCAGATCTATAATTCTATGACGCAGATCCCTGTACTATTATCGTGAAATAATAATCAGAACAATTCTTAATTCATTGTTTTTAAAAATCTTAATAACTAAAATATCTTAGGATTTTTAGGCTTTATCAGAGGTATTAATTTACATCTGATATGGAGTGCCAATGGTCCAATGGCATGAAGGTTGAAAAAAGTGAAATCCTACTAGGGTGTAATATACAGTGTACACCTGTGTACCTAGCACCAATAGGCTTTATTTCTTTAGCTTCTGTTGTCCTATCCTAAAATCCTCCAGCTATAGGGGAAAACAGAACAGTTTTAGGCTAAAACTTTTTCTGGCAAAACTTATGCGATGGGTAATAACATCAGATCATTGAGCAGGTTTACCCTAGATTTACCCTAAATATAAAACTACCCTAAACATTACCCTGAGAGGTTGAAATTACCCTAGAAACAGCAGCACTGCTTATAAGTTTTATAGAATCTCATTACTAGTTTCTATTTGTTTACGCTATTCCTAGAATTCTCTGATGCATGGCCGCGAACTCCGCTGGCGGTACACTGGGAACAGAGCCGGCACACCCAGCGACCGCTCGGTATGCTTTTCAGACCCACGCAAAATGTGTGATAGCCCCTGTCACAGTTATCACAGAACATCATTTTGTCTTCGTCATAAGGATCCATACACAACATGCAAGTTTTACAGTCCATACATTGCCACGGATAAGTTTTAATAGCTTCTACCATCGAAGACGACAAATCTAAGCAGGAAGGATGGTTACTGTTATTACATTCAGAGCAATGTATCAGTTCTTCTGACTTTCCTTCTTTATTTACTTCACTGTTTCCTTGACACACTTTACAAATTGCATTTGGTTTATGTTTTTGTCTATATGTTGTCGGAGGAATGAGGATATTTTTCTGGGATACAGAATATGTACTACTCTTCGATTTTGTCATTTCGGATCCTGAACTACTCTCTCCGCTACCGTGCGTACACTGACTTGATGAACAAGAAATTTCGGATGCAGAGCTTTCTTCTGAATCCGACTGGCTTCCATCCGAACTGGGCTGCACGTAAACGGTTCCTAATTCTTGTGGAGGGCCGTATAATACTGTGTTAACCGGTAAATACTTTAATTCTTGGGAACTGTATTTCCTATAATAATCCTGATACTGACCCGGTAAAAGAGCAACCGGATATAATCCCATCGTCGGACCATCCTTGTTAAGTTTAGTTATTCTATTATTAGGGTAATGGATAGTATATGTTTGTAAATCAAATGATGCTTTCCTTTCTTCTTTTCTTTCATGATTTAAATGCGTATTATATTCAGCAGCTGAATGAACAGCTTTTTTAACAAACTCAGACATTTTATTTTTATCTACATTAGGAGGAGCATACTCCTTAAACTTTTCGCTGACAGACTGTCTTTCCTTTTCTTGTAACATTTGAAGATACTCATGAAATTTATCAGGAAAATCCTTACTGATTAATTCTAAAATATCATCAGCTTTTATGGCGGTGAGACCGAGCTCACACTGCATCTCGGACACGACTCCCTTCTCCTTCAAGTACCTCCTCTCTTCAGGCTCCACGACTCTTCTAGTGAGATCCGGATACCTTCTCCTAAAGGATTTAATACATAAAAAGTCAGAGATCTGTTCTTGTAGTATGTAATAATCTCCTTTCCCGACCGGCCACTGATATTCAAATAGATCATTTATGTTGAAATGTCTAGTCGTATTGGCCACTTCGTCGTCAAAGTATCTTCTTTTGAAGGAGCTTCGGTAACTTCTATGACTGCTGAAGCTATTCTGAGAATCTTCATCCAGAACGACCTCCTTTAAGTTTCCTGATGTATTCCTGCAGCTGTCGACACTCCACGAGCTTCTTGCATCTTCCTCGAAGCACTGAACACCTGATGCTCGCTTCCTATACAAATCAGGAACCAAACGAGGCGTTAAAATCATTTTGGGACGATCTAAAATACTTTCCATAATTCCCTCCGAAGGAAACGAATTAAATGAATCGCCGCTCTCCATTAGTTCGGATCCACTTAAATAATTATTTGCTGCCCAAAATGAATCTTCGCTCATTACGAATAAATCGTTATTTCTTTATCTAAAAACAAGCTCATCTCCTCTCCTGATCTAAACATTGTAAAAAAAAATAATAAAATAAAAATCAAAATAAAAAAGAAAGAAAATTCTGACAGCTCCCCCTGCTGAGAGCTTTACGTTATCGGCGATCTTCATTAAATTAATTTCAAATGATAATAAATTAAATTTCTAATTATAAAAACTTTGCTATGTCAAATAATCGGTAATTAATTAATAAATAAATTTATGCGAAATATAAATTTACTCTTATTAAGTTATTTAATTTTTAATTTATTTTTACGAATAGATATGTAACCTTTCCTCGAGATTAAATTTTAAATTATTAATATTATTATTACTAAATTTTAAAAATTGTAATAAAATCTTTTATAGATTGTTTTTGATTAACGATTGTGTTATTATATCAAGCAGGGGCGTCGAGAGACGTCTCCAGACGCGGGACAAACAAAATTTACATAGAATCAAGTAAATAAATTACAGTATTTGAAGATTTACTTTTATGGATATACTGTATTTCTTTTTTTTTACGAAATAAAGAACAATAGTTATCGTTAAGCATTTATGTTACAATAGTGCTTCAGTAGCAGAGCCGGCCCCACCATAGGGCGAAAGGAGCAGCCGCTCCAGGCGCTAAGTCCTAGGGGGCGCCTCAGTGGTAAAGAAAATTAAAGGGTATAAATTTGGGGCAACCAAGGGCAAAGGGCAGTGGCGTAGCAAGAGGGTGTATCAAGCACCGGGCGCCACTCGCAGAGGGGCGCCCAAATGGTCTCCAAGACAAACTATATGTGTTTCTGGAGGGGGCGCCAATAAAGTGTCGTGCCCCGAGCGCCAGTTATGTTCGCTACGCTACTGACCAAGGGGGCGCCATAATAGGATCTCGCTCCATCCTAAAACTTGCCTCGGGCCGGCACTGTTCAGTAGTAATTACCGAATAAAAAGCAAATTGTGGGATGTTCCCCATGAATCCCAAGTTCGGGGAATTTTGCCCCATCATCCGCCTCTCGTCGCCCCTGACATGAAGATCTAAAACGATGAAGTACAGTTCGGTTGGCGCTCGGCGACAACCTCCGACCGAACGCTTTCAATATGCCGTTTAGTAAAATCGTTATAAAATGTTTTAATCCGCATAAATTTGAGCTTTTGTTAACATTTTGAATACAAGTCATTCGTTTCTAGACCTAGTAATTTTTTTCTAGGAGCGTCTGCAGTGCCGGATGAAGAAAAGAAGAAAATACTGCTTTTTCGGCGTTTTTTACACTTTTCAATTGTTTATATTTCGGCAATCCTTTCGTAGAAAATCCTGAAATTTTGCACACTATCTAAGAAAACGATTATCTTTCGAATGCGATATTCACAATTAACTTTAAACGATTGGGGGCAGAGAAATCGACCCCGAAAATCCGCAACTCTGATTCTTGAGTGACTTTTTACTTGGCGCGGAGTCACTACCGTGTCTCCATACATATATAAAAAAAGATAAATAATTATACTTTAAATTAGATGAATAAATATTAATTTAAAACCTTTATAATTTATAAATAATAATTATAGGTAATTTGGCTATTTTTGCAGCGACGTAACCGGAAATTAGTTGAAACAGATGATAATCGTGTAGCGTAACACGTGGTTTGTAGAAATGCTAATGCCATGTTCAAGAACTGTGTTTTTGGCTATTTTTTTGAGATTTCAGTTATATATACTCGTATATAAACAATTATAGAACATATTTAAATATCTGTATATTTAAATTACATTTATATATACCACAAATGGATTTTCAAGAGATTCCGCATCGTTTTTTGAAGGGAATAACTTTTGGAATCTATTCGTCCGAAGAATTACGTAAATTCAGCGTAATTGAAATTACAAGCATTAAAACTTTTGACGCTCTCGGACATCCAGCAGCAAATGGCTTACATGATCCAGCTTTAGGTGAGGTTTAATTACCATTTCTATTTGTTTGCATTATTTCCACAGATTTTAATTGAAATTTATAAAATTTACAGGCCCTTCTGAATTCAATGAACTCTGTAAAACGTGTGGACTAAGTCAATTTCATTGCCCCGGACATTTTGGACATATTAATTTGCCATTGCCTGTTTTCAATCCATTTTTACTTACTATTTTACATAAAGTAAGTGTTTGTGTAATTTAGTCGGTTAAATTTCAGATGTGTATACTGTCATGGTGGCAGTCCCGACTGTTCATACTCCCGACTGACTCCTCCCGGAGGGGAGCCGCTGGCAGGCCGACTTGTGCCAAATGTCACTAGTTATTGATTCATGATAGTACTTGAACACACGTATCAATAACTAGTTTGAAGTGCTGCCATGACAGTATACGCATCTGAAATTTAACCATTTAGTCTTAATAAGTATTATAAAAGTGTCGAATATTATCTAATTTAATAAAATTAGCTAAAATAATTTAAAGATTCTGATATTTAATCCAATCCAGCTTATCAGTTTTTAATTCTTTTACTCAGACTCATTCGTAAAAGCGTAATACGAGATTTAGTCAAAAAGTTCCAGGACTGGTGATATGGCGCTACAATCTGCCACATGCTGAACTTGTGCGAACTAGGATGTGTAATAGACAATATTATTCAGTTTTCTGCCAAATTTCATGCCATTATCTTACGTAGTTGTTGTTTCTTGCTATTTAGGTTAGATCTGTGTTCTTGCCAATTTACAATTTTCATTGATTTGTAAAATTAATCGTTTTAAGGACTGTATGAGTGTGAAATTTTTATTTCAAACTTGGCAAGACTGTAGAAGAAAAGAAACTGATTACAGGAGACAAAACATGAATTTACAGCCATGAGCCTGACACCAAACAATTGACTTGGTAGAAAAATCGTGGCTCAACTAGACCAAAGAAAGCATGCCAAGTAAAGTTTAATCTCAAGAACATGCTCGTATTTTTTTTCAATAGGGAGGGAAATTTCTTCGAGAATTTGTTCCACAAGGTCAAGCAAATTTTTATACAGATGTTTTGACATGTCTGCATGATAATGTCACAGATGAAAAAGACCAGATCTTTGGAAAGCTCAAAATGTGTTGTTTTATCATGACAATGCCCCTGCTCACACAGCTCTCTCTATTCTACAGTTTCTTGCCAAAGATAAAATGGCTGTGGTGCCCCATCTTCCTTATCTACCAGATTTGGTGCCATATGACTTTCTATTTCCATGGCTGAGAAGTGCCGAAAGGCAGTGATTTAAGAACATTGATGGCATTGAAACACAATTGCAGCGAATGCTTACCATCATCATGAAAAAAGTGTTCCAGAAATGTTTTGAAAACTAGGAGAAATGCTTGAATCTATGTATAGCTGCAGAGGGAACTTATTTTGAAGGTGACAACTCAATAAATTAATATGTACGTCAGACATTTTTTATTGGACCAGTCCCAGAACATTTTGACTGTACCTTGTACATATTATTGGAGCTGTTTTTCAGCTGGTATGTGCCAGTATGCCATACCAGCAGACAGTACAAAAGTATTGATGGCCAGTATATTGGCAGCTGCTTAGTAAGAAACAGTTCTATCATCTGATTATAGAAGCAAGGTTTGAGCCACAACTTCCTTAAAATTCTATTTCTGAAACAAGTTTTTGACTAGGGCAGTCTAGTCTGCAGATGATAAATTGATAATAAAAATCATGGATTAAAGGCAAGCCTAAACTGCAACTTAAATTGTCAAATGTGTGATTTAGACAAAGAAATAATCGTTTTAATTTATTTAGTTTAACATAAAAATGGATATTTGTGACAGATTAAATCAATAAGAACATAGAAATAATAACATGATCAGCGTTAAAAAAATATATATTAAGGAATCAAATCCACTTGAAATTTATCCTGACACTAAATCCAGGATAGACAAGTTTTAAAACCTTGATTTGTCTATATTTTACACACTATACAACATGGATTTCAGCATTTTAATAAGGCTTGATCTTTAAGATCTGATTGGCAACTATTACTGTATTTAATAAAGTGATGTGAAAATAAATATGTATAATTAACAGCTGTTTCTTTTTATATAGTATGATTTTTTCAAAATATCAATTAATAACAGCCTTTCAATTATCCCAGATCTTGATCTATTCTTATGGTAAATGACAAGAAATTATGAATTTTCTGCCATGCATGTTTTTTAGTATTTGTCAAATGTATGTTATATCCTTTTTCTTCTGTTTCTAGGTGAACCTTAATTAACTATTAAAGCTGTATCCTCATCAAAAAAGTTTTTTGCTGACTGTACTACTAGCTCTTATTTTCTGCCATCTCTGATCTCATCACGAAAACATTAATTGCTTAAAAATGTTAAAATAACAGGGAAGAGCATTCATTAAGCCACAGTTCTGTTAAGAATATTTTTATTTGTATTTGTTACAATATGTTTTAAGAGAGAAATATTGTCTGGTAATTGTCTGACTGCTACATCTTTGTCAAGAAACAAGGTATAGAGAAGTGCTAATGATGATTTGAATGGGAAAGTTAAAAATGTGGTTACTAAAGGCAACTGTAAGATAGATATATACAAAAAAAATTTGTAAAAGTTTTATACACTTGAATAATTACATATTTTTTTTTCTAAAAAATAATCAGTTTGCAGTTTATTTGAAACACATTGGGTAATGCAATCCACAAATTCTAGAGAGCTTCCAGTTATCCGTCACTGTATATTTTACTTATATAGAATATAAGTAAAAGTAGAATATAGTTGATAATTACAAGTAATATTGAATGAGGATAAATAAAATATTTCTTGAGGCAGTGGCCTCTTCCTTCTCTGGATTGATAATCATTGTACGGAAGATGATATACTAGCCATTGAGATAACTTACTTGGAATAATTACTGCATCTTTAATGGTGGAATTTTTGGAAGTACACTAATGTTTTTAACCCTGTTAATAGATTAAAAAAAATTAACATTCTTCCAAAAATTTCACCATTAGAGGTACCGTAATTAGTTTGGTAACCATTGTAACTTGAATGCAAGCGATTGTTTCTCTGTACTTAAAACATTTAAAATTATGGTTTATAAATTCACTCAATCAGAAAAATAAGTTAAATATACAACTGAGACTGACAGCAAATAATCTATATACCTACAGTATATCTCTAAGTTTAAACTATTGTCCTATTAGCAATTTCTCACCTTAGATTTTTGAATTAAACAATATAAAGAAGTCTTGCTTTCATTCATTCAGTAAGCTAATTCATTATAAAATACATTATAATAATTTTGCAAATAATTTATTTTTACCCAATATACAAATAATTTTTCTTTTCCTTGATACTTTTATCTTTTAATATTGGACTTTAAATTGAGCACAGCCACATTGAAGGGTCAGGGAATTTGTGCAAAGTTGGTCAGGGAAAGTCATGAAATTTAAAATGAAAATTTGAGTAGGAACCCTATACAGCAGTGTTTTTCAACCTTCTTGAATACGCGACCCCTTTACAAGTTAAAAATTTTGGCGATCCCCACAGGACCATATTAAAACTATATCATTGATTTTAAAATCTACATATTTAACTTTCTTTCTGTTGAGACCTAAATATCAATCGAAAATCCAATTGTACTGTAAAATAAACAGGCCCAGCCTTCTCAACGAAATTGTAGGTTTACTTTATTGTAGTGTAGGACCTACAAACACTTGTCTTTTTTTTTACCTGCGACCCCCCGTGTAAGGCTTTGTGACCCCTCTGGGGGTCGCGACCCACAGGCTGAAAAACACTGCTATACAGTATAATGTTGGGCAAAATATAGGCAATAATAATAATGAATTACTGATTAATTTGTCTTTAGAGGGAAGTGTTAGGCGCCATCTTGTATTAAATTTAATAATTATAATTTAATTAAATAATTTTAGGATAAACTGGAAGGAAAGAATTGGCCCGGAGTTGGATTCATATCCGTAACTTTGCCATGCGGAAGTTGCGGGTTCAAGAACTAGAAATCGTAACTTGTTAACTTATTATTGATGAGTGTAACAAGTTTGGAAAATTATACTGCTTTTAATGGAAATGCCATGAAATTGCAATGATGAAAATGGTTTACAAGCAGAAAAACATGTATTTATAATGAAACAGTTTTACCAGACTAATTATATTATCAATGTTCAGCTTTGATTTGAATGAAATTCAAGTGCAGAATAGAACCAAATAAGTTTGCAATAAACTGAGTAATGGAGAAGTTTGAAAAATAGGGAGTGTTAGTAAGAAGTCTTTTGGAATATAAGAAAGCATTTTGTATGTTGTGCAAGTATTGATAAGAAATATAATGGTACATTCAAAAAGTTTTACAGAATAGATTTTTGTCATGTTTTTTATTGAATATATACATTTAGACAAGACTATCCTTAAAGTATTCATCTTCTATGACAACGCACTTTATCCAACAGTTGTACGGTTTTTTAAAAATGTCCTGGAACCTGAAATGCATTTTCTTCAGCAGAAATTATCTATCTCTATTGATGAATTATTGGTCTTTTATATATGTTTCAATGTGGGGAAGGAGGTGGACCTTGTAAGCTGCAGATAATGTTTCCAGAATTTGTTGAGGTGTCTTTAAAAGGACACAAAATTTAATGTTCTTTGTTCAATACTAGAAGTTTTATATTCTATAGTCCAAAATATCATTTTCATCATGTCACAAAATGCATGTACTGTACAGTAGAACCTCGGTTAACGAACTTAATTCATTCCACGACTCTGTTCATTAACCGAATTGTTTGTTAACCAAAGCAATTTTTCCCATAAAAATTAATGTAAATACAATTTATCTGTTCTATCCTCTAAAATTTTTGTAATTTTATTTGTGAAATGGGTTTTCTTTGATGAAAATATAGGAAAACATAGTATCTATAATTACAGCAACAAACATATAAACTTTATTTAATAAAATAGCACTGTACAGTACATACCTTCATTTGTTGTAGTTGGTGGCAGAGGAGTGATGTACAGAGCTTGGTACATTAGGAACTCTAAGCTACCAAGCTTAGAGTTCCTTCTAAGCTTGGTAGCTTAGAAGGAAAACCCCTCCAAAACAATAACGGGTAGCATTCATTGGGGATTCTTTGAGTCAAGGTCTCTTTTGGTAAGGAACAAGAAATTGATCTAAAGTTAATTGTCTTACTCTTTTAATTAAAATTTTTCTCAAATGCAATAGTGCATTGTCATTCATATCACATTGTCATTTTCTATTGCCATTATCACTTTTCTCTTTCTTGGATGCCATATTGATTAAATATATATATCATAAAACTGAAAAAAGAAGTTTAGCACAAACACTCGGAAAAACAATTCTTAAGAAATGTTTTTTAATTTGATTATTTAATTAATTGCATAGTTATATCCTGTAAAGTAACCAATAGGCCTCTGATTAATTGATGCAGAATTTTAGAAAAAATAAATTGTCATTCTAACTGAATATGTGAGAATCAACATAGATAATTGAAAATCACTTAAATCTTTTAATTACAACATTCAAATGGAGCAGTTCCTTCATGTAACCAATAAAGCCAGTGGTTTTACTGGCTTTTGTAATAACTTGTAATAACTTATTAAATAACTTGATGCTTGTTGAGGAGAGTCCAATGATACTGCAACATGTTTAGTGATGAGGTCAATATTCATTTAGACAAATGTGTGAATAAGGATATGTATGTATGTTTGGGTTAGTGAACATTGTAACATAACAGTAATTCTGTTACATTTTTAAGAATGTGTAGTTATCATATGGATAACTAACGTGTTATTGTTGATGATAAGAGCACTAATAAGTACATTTGTGTTCTTCAAGAAGAATTTTTTCCTGTTCCTCCAACTTGATGATAGTTTTTGAGGAATATTTTTCAAGCATGATACTATATGCCAGGTGGTCAAATTTTGTCACAAAAGGAGTTCTATAACACATACTGTATTTCTGATATTCTAATCTATATTGAAATGGTATTTTATATATGACTTGTATAATTTATATATATATGTAGAGGAATAGCACCAAAGTTGGATCCCTATCCTTAATATGATGTCTTATATATGGTAAGCACATTAAAGATCTAGAAGAGTTTCATGCGGCTCATGAGCCACAGCCCATGACTATAATAATTTTCCAAAACAGATAATCCCAATTACTATAATATGCTTCAGATATGAATTTGTATAGTTACTTTTTATTGGGTTTCCTGAAGAATATTACATATGAAGATAATCCACACACAATTGATGCTTGGAACTTCGGAAACAGTGATCCACATTTTAAGAGACACTGACTTTGATTGGAGAAAACTTCCCATTACTGATTTGAATGATGTACCATACCTATTGAAATTGTGTTCACATAATTATAATCTCTTATGCCTACTGAACTCAGAGAAATTTGTAAATTGTAAGATTTGTAGATTATAAGATGATCCTGTTTTAATTTTGAAACTAAATGTTACATATTTAGTTTCAAAATTAAAACTGTATTATCTTATTATAAAGTCTGTAAAATAATTTTGGCCGATATCCTAGTATAAACATAGTTTATTTATTTTTTCTTGACAGTTGTTGAGAGGAAGTTGTTTCAATTGCCATAGTCTTCTTGCGTCTCCGATTGCTGTACAGTTAACGTTGGCTCAGCTTCGAGTTCTCGATTATGGACTTGTCGGAGTAGCTCAAGAAATGCAACAAATGGTTGCAGAGTTCCAAGAAAAAGAATCTATGTCAAATATTTTATACATAAAAGATAAACTTGCAAATCATGTAAATAAAGCTTTGGAAGGTATTTTACATTTTGAATTTTTAATTAATTGAATTTAAATTGCATTAATTTTTCATATTTAAGTTAAATTTTTTTTAAATAAATAGGTTTAGATTTGGAAGAAGCAAAAAAATGTTCATCGGTGAAAAATGTTGTCGAATGCCGTCAAAGAATCGTCAAAAACTTTATCAGAGATCACTTACAGAAAAGTGGAAACAAATGTTATTATTGTAGAACTGTTCAGAGGCCATTATCATTATATTTTTTTAGTTGTTTAGTATTTAAAGAAAAGAAAGCTAAATCTTCTAAACCATTACCTTCACAATCTGTTGAGTAAGTGTTAATAGCTAAAATTTTTATATTACTTATGTGTTATTATGATATTTGATGTGTTTGCCATAATTTTTTTAAACTTTTAAGGGAAGAATGTGATGACCAAGAACGGAATGAAAATGAAAATATTTCCAAATTAATCAGCAGTACTAATCAATCATTATTGACGGCCGTAGAGGCTCGAGATCATTTACGAAAACTGTGGGATAAAGAAAGAACAATTTTACAGAAATTATTTGGTATATCGAATTTAGCCATTGATTCACACGAATGTCCATTAGATATGTTTTTCTTAGAAAATGTAATGGTTCCCCCCACACGATTTCGACCTGTAAGTAATCATTTTGTCATATTGAAACAATATCTAATATTAATATAAAACTGCTTATGTAAAATTAATTAATAAATTTAAGTAAACAGCTTGTAAAATTAGTAAAGTATTTTAATTGCTAGATTTTTGGTGTTTGCATGTTTTTTTTTAATCAATAAATGTTGATAATTGTTAATATTTAGTTTTGTGTATTACTATTTTAGATATCTTTTATGAAAGGAAAGAAGTTTGAAAATCCTCAGACTGCTGCTTTGAAAAATGTAATACATTCTTCAATTGTTGTTCGGGAATTATTAAAGAGTAAGAAGGAAGGAATAAATTTAGCTTCTGCTAAAGATGATGCTTTGAAAGTATGAACATATATTCAAATTTCTTTTAATAATATGCGTAATAATGAATAAAAATATGATTTTGTAGTCTGTGCTAGCAACTGTTCCTGGCTCTAACGTTACAGAAAAACTTCACAGTGCAAGAATTACATTACAGTTGAAAGTTAATGCCGTAACAGATACTGAAATGGATAAATTAAGTAAAGAAAAATATCCTGGTATGAAACAGGTGAGATTTCTTGATTTTAAAACATTGTTTGAATTTTAATGTTTTATAGATTAAAATTGAATTAAATTTGTTAAGGTGTTAACTTGCTGCTCTAGAGGACTTGGGATCAAATTTGAATGAGCAACCCCAGAAAATTTTCACAAGTAATCTTTTCCAGATGTGACTGGCTTCGTCTCTCGCCATCAGGCTATCCTGTTGGCTGTTTGAACCTGTGATGAAGTAGGAAAAAACCCCTCTTAGTTTAATTGGGAAAGAAAGGGTCAGAAATAAAGAAAATATCTTGACCTTAAACACGCTTATTTGAAAATTATGTAGTATTGAAGAGGAATCACTAACACAGTGTGATTCTAAATGCATTTATATTAGAGAGAGAGAATAATAAAAGTAGGTTAAATGCTAGCATAGTTATTTGGGTTGCTGTGATTCTAGACAATTGAAAACAGAATAGGATATCTGTACCAAAATCACTTGGTTTACAAATTAAGAAAAAATTGACAAAATACATTTATAATCCAATTTCAAGTAAAACAATTAATATTTTAGAATCATTTAGAAAGAAGTAACAAAATGCATACTGTATTTGCAATTTCATTCAACAAATTGTTTAATGTTGTTAAAACATTATAATTTTAATTCTGAAGGAAAAAATCATACATCTGATTGCTTGTTTATCGTCAAATGCTTGATCATTTAAATAATTTGCTTCTTTTGTGAAGTTTGAATGCTTTTATTCTTTTTACTGTGATGTTATTCATACCCATCTAAATTTGGCCTGAAATGGGACAGCTGAATAATGAGACCATGACCCTGGCTGAACTTCAAAAAAATCTTTAAGAATACAACTCGGATGTGAATTCATTTTCTTCAGATAACAGGATATTTTAGTCAGCTAATTTATCCAATTATCTTTATAGTATACTGTGGTTTGGGCAATCTCATCTTTCTCCCATTTTATTTCTGTCCTTTTTCCATCCTTCTGTCAAAATTATCAATCTTGCTCCTTTTCTAATTGATTCCTTTTACTCTGTCCTTCAACTCCTGTTCTGATATGCAAATTCATTCAGATCTGGCCAGCCTTATTTTTACTGGGTCCCAACTGGCACCAATGTTGTCATTCAGGGTGTGGGCTTTGCCTAAAAGAATTTTCCTCAATCTTCTACAATAAATGATTTTTGAGAAAAACATTCAGTATAGGTGGTCATAAACCTCTTATATACCAAATCTGTTATATATAAAAGAGGAAAAGTATGGTGATCAGTCAAAAGAAATGACCCATCTTCCAAGATTTTTACAGTTTCGGACTTGGGACCTTGAAGAAATGGACTTTGGAAACATCAAGGAGTTCAATAAAAAAAAAATTGGGGCTTTTTCTCTATGTATGGATGTTAGTGTGTTTGGGACATGATTTTGTTCAAAGCCGAACGATTGCCGTAATGAATCAGGCTATTTTATTGCTACTATTAATAATTAAATTCTAAGTAATTTGGTATTAGAGGTAGATGCTATGTGCTATCTCTTATTAAATTAATATTTTACTAAATAATTTAGAATATTCTGGAAGAAATGAATCAGTCCAGAATGGGATCGAACCCACAACTCCTGCTTACTTTGCAAATAAGTTATCCGGACCTATGTTTGACCCTTTGCTTCCATACATATTTAATTTTTGGTTATAAAAAATAAAATTAAAGTAGCAATAAAGTAATCTGATTCTTTATGGTGATTGCTTGGCTTTGATTAAAATATCAGTCTTTTAGATGTTTATACATGATTTTATTCACCCTCTTTGAAGCTTAATAACTTCTTTGTCTTCTGTCCAAAATTTCTCAAATTTTGCAGGGAGATTTGTGTATTAGGAGCATTGATGCAATTAGAATTTTGATGGTTAAAAGTCTAGGAGGTATGGAAATAAAAGAGAGTCCTGCATTGTATCTTGAATGTAGTTGGACTTATTGAACATTTACTTGTTATTGGCATTTACAATTTTTTTATCAAACTCATCTCTACTCTCAAAATTAAGCTTTTTGCCACTTTATAATAATTAATAGTATAAAAATTTTAAAAGTAAAAATCTCATTATAGATAATGCCACATACAATTTTAACTTTTTTGTACAGTACAAATGATTAATGTTTTATATTTTCTGAAAATAGATTTAATTAATACACTGGTGACTTGATACATGTTCTTAAAACACATACTTATTACAACAAACAATCTTTGGAGTCCAAAGATTGTTTGTTGTAATAAGTATGTGTTTTAAGAAGAAACCCTTTCTGTTATGTGTACAAACAACTCATGTCACATGATAGCCAATGTTTATCAATTTATCATTCACATTATTTGATACCCCATGCTGTTATTTTTTTCTGGCTTTTTCCTTATCAAGACACTTGACGGTTAAAGCTGTGTGTATACAGTGGCAAGTACAGACTATAAATGTGGCCAGCAAAATATTGCAAATTGAGCCAAATGATTTTAATCATGCTGCTAACTGCCAATTTATTTCATTAGCCTACGGTCAGATGAAATAAAAGCAATGGAATCTGAAGAGATGGGACAATAAATTGGGGTCCACAAACTGCTTTGTATTGTATGTTGGTTTGTGTTATATCAAAGCACATTATATCAAGTCATCGGTGTAATATGAAATTTAATATGCACTTTATCACATAATTGCAATTTAAATATAAAACAAGACTAACTGGTAAAAATGAAATTTTTATTGAATTTTTTCAGATATTAGAAAAAAAGGAAGGATTATTTCGTAAACATATGATGGGGAAACGTGTTGATTATGCAGCGAGATCAGTTATTTCACCCGATCCCTACATAATGTCTGATGAAGTTGGCATTCCTATGGTATTTGCTACAAAATTAACTTATCCACAGCCAGTTACTCCATGGAATATTAGAGAACTGAGACAAGCTGTTATTAATGGACCTAATGTTTATCCAGGGTAAAGTATAATAAAAATGCATACAAACGTTTATCTTAGATATTGTTTCTGTAAATTGAATCTAATTCTATAAAGATAATGAAAATGTGTGATTTTTATCAGACTTTCAAGTAATCTGTTTAAGTTTTGATTAAGCCATTATAATTGTCTTCATACTTTATGTTCAGTTCTAAAGAACACAGTTGGCCGACCGTGTTCTTTAGAACTGAACATAAAGTATGATATAAATATATTTAATTCCTTATTATTTTTTTTATGAATCCTGAGCTACTTGCACAGGGCATAGCTCTGTGCTCTAGCGTTGTTAGAACAAATCCCTGTTTATGGTGGAAGTGATCAATGAATTTAATTGGGAAACTCTGGATCTGTTGCCATGCGATTATCACTTGTTTGGTTCTTTGAAGGAAATTTTGGGAGCAGGAGATTCACTCAAAATGCATTGGCTTTGACACCAGCTGAAAGACTTCTATTCTGTAGGCATTGTTTTGTTCCAAATTATAGGAGAAGTGTGTTGTGAGGGAAAGTACCTGTAGAAAGAAACATAAATTGGAAGTACATAACACATTCGGTTCATTCCCATTACTGAAATTCCAGACAGAAGTTAAACTGTTCTTATGTGAAAGTCTGTGGACATGGTGTAGAAGTGAGTCTAGTCTTATGTTGAATACAAGTAATACTTCCTTCAAAGGGCCAAATAGGTAATAATCACTTGGTGAAAGATAGACTGTAGGCTGGGTGATCCAGAATCACCTAACTAAGTTTATTGATCACCTCCACTGTAATTCAGGTAAAGGTTTATTATGGGAATTATGGAATGAGAATGAAAGAGAATACATTAAAAAAATCAGATGTTACAATGGTCATGTACTGACTTAAGAGAATAATTGAACATAAAGAACAATAAGTTCAATGAAAACAATGATTTACTTCAACATTCTATTTGTCATCTATCAGGCATGTTCAATGACTCTATTGGGATTCAACCAGTCAATCACACATCAGTTTTGGTCGATTGCAGATAATTTTCCATGTTAAAATGTGAAAAATTTTTGTAATTCTGTAAGAATATTAATTTCATATTTCAATGAATAACTCTTTATTATTGCTACAGATAACTAGTGGTGCCCAAACCTTTCAGTTGGCAGACCAAATTGTGCATAAGTCATAGGCAGACAGGCCACAAATATTTTATATTTTGTATATACTAATACTAGGCCTATTTCTATCATTTTTAAGTGAGGCATCAAGTATGTTTTTTTGACCAGATTTGGCCCAGAAGCTATAGTTTCGGCACCATTGGCACATGAGATAACTTGTGTTTGTTTTTGTTTCTGATTGTGGTATTGTGAAAAGAACATGTGCAGATATTTAATGAGAAACACAAAAAACTGAGATGTATTATCTACATCAGCAGTTCTCAACCAANAAACTGACTAAAGTGCAACAATAAACATAAAAGTGATATAAGTTGAATTATACCAGTTTTCACAGGACACACAGATATAAAGATAAATATTAAAATTATTTACTTATTGTTAAACAGAAAAATACAAAACATGTACTTCAAAGAAAGAAAAACTATAACTGCAAAAATACGTTATAATATATCCAATCCACCTAGTCAAACTCAGGGCCCTGACACAAAAATTACTCACGGAATGATGCCAAGGTTTTACTAGTGCCATCTGATCACATTTCCCAATTACGATAAACTACATAACAATATAATTCATTCTACAAAAATGTTAATTTAGTTGTAATGTGTATTTTTATTTTTATATTTGAATATCTTACTTACATTGTATTTGTGGGGCTACAATAAAATTATTCAGCAATAAACATTACATTTTTCTCAATGAACACTGCTTTATTCTGAACTTCACTGAACAGATCTAATGCGCATATACAAACTTTATCTAATTCTCAGTGATGATGTTGGATGTCAGGGCAGAAGGTAATGTCATTCTTAATTATTAACCCTTGAATATGGAGCACTAATAATATAGTAATTTGCAATAATAATAAAACAATGGCACATTTAGAACCTATTGCAGGCTCCTGGCAAGTGCCTTGCCTGCCTTGTGCCAAATTAGGCCCTGGGTAAATGTAAAATCATTAACTACTTCAAAAAAATATCAGTACCATGGGAACTTAATCTGGATGCTGATCAGTCTTTTTATATACAGTTGTGGCTGATGTGAATACTGCCCCCTTGATATAGTAACAGGTGTATAAAAAAGAACAACACAGAGAATGGTAAATTATAGGAAACTTTAATGAACTGTATTGACTAAACTATGCCATGTATCATCTTTTGTAATATTAAAGCTATTGCTATATATTATTTTCATTAGCAAACCATTTCATGACAATGGATCGTGTAAAGAAGAATGTTAAGAAAAGAAAATATATTGAGGAATTTTTACAGTATGGTTTTACCTCAATAATTACAGCAGGAATTGAGAAATCACAATGTATTATTTGTTATGAAGTTCTATCAGCCAAATCTACAAAGCCAAACAAACTAAAATGCCATTTTGATAGCAAGCATCCAAGCTTTGCTGGCAAGGATACCAACTATTTTAGAAACAAAGCTGATGGACTGAAAGAAAGCCAGATTTGACACTGGTGGCAAGTACCACAAACAAAATGTATCAACTGTTGAAGCTTCATATTTCATGGCACTCAGAATCGTTAGAGCTATGAAACCACGCACCATTGCTGAGGATTTACTGTTGCCAGTGGCCAAACACATTGTTCGAGTTATGATTGGAGATGACACAATTTCTTTATCTGATGACATTGTCTGCAGAAGATTAGGTGACATCTGCTGATATTCTTGATCAGGTAATCCAGAAAATTAAACCTGCTCCACTTCCAATATTTAGTATCCAGCTAGATGTATCTACAGATTTGCAAATTAATGATGGTGACTTTAAAGATGAGTTTCTTTTTTGCAAACCTCTTGAAATGACAACTACTGCACATGATGTATTTGACACATTTTGTTCATTTCTGAAAGAGCATAAGATCTTTTGGGAAAAGGTTTGTGGTGTTTGCACAGATGGTGCTCAGCTAATCTAGGATATTGATCTGGATTTCAACGTCTGGTACTGGATGAGTCACCAAAAGTCATCAGGACTTACTGTATGATTCATCAGCAAATATTAGCAACATAGATGCTGCTACAAGAGTTACAAGAAGTAATGAAAAGTGCTTATGGCATTTTTCATTACTTCTTGTAACTTCTTGTAGTTCTGTCAATTTTGTAAAGGTGATTACTTTAATTTAAACAATTAACTGTTTTCGCAACTGTGCAATGAGTTAAATGCGCCAAACAATGCTCTGCTATTTCACACTGAAGTGAGATGGAGGAAAAATTTTAAAACATGTTTTTATGCTTCATGATGAACTCAAAATGATTTTTAGTCAGAAAGCAAGACAGCAGTTCGAAGCACTTTTCAGCGATAAAAGTGAACTGCAGAAAATATCTTACTTGGTTGACATCATTGACATCTTTGCCATCTTGAATGAGTTAAATTTATCACTGCAAAGACCAAATGCAACATGCCTTGATTTGTCTGAAAAGATCAAATCATTTCAAATGAAACTTCAGCTTGGCAAAAAAAAATTGGATGAAAATAAAATTACATGTTATCTACCTTATCTGCTTTTTTTGAAGAGCATGACATTGAACCAGACAAAAGGATTATGATGATAATTTCTGTGAAAGAATGCTTGCATATGCTTGCAGACGAAATTTCATGGTACTTTTCAAATCTACCTGACACCCCATTTTCACTTGCAAGAAGCCTATTCACAGTCAAAGTTGAAGGTGTTTCTGAGACAGCACAAGAGGAGTTCATTGAACTATGTGCAGCAGCAAGAACTGATTTCTCTACAATGTCAATTACAAAATTCTGGATCAAGTGTTTGCAGTCATATCCTGTTCTGTCTGAGACAGTGTTGCACCTTCTTCTTCCATTTCAAACAACATATTTTTGTGAAACATTTTTTCCAGCTTGTTGTTTATCAAGTCTAAATACAGAAGTAGACTTGTTGTGGATGATGACCTTTATTGTGCTCTTGCAAAGACTACCCCAAGAATTTCTGATCTGGTAAGAAAGAAGCAATCTCAATTTTCACACTGACATTGGCTTTTTATGCATACTGTTGCAAAATGTAGCAATGTAGTTTACTGTTGTTATATTAACCTCACCTGTGTTATTCCCGATATATATCGGGGTCATGACCTTTGACCCGCTGGGTTAAACCCAATACATCTCATTACAGTATCGGTACATTTTTTATACTAGATATCGCTATGCATCATAATTTGTATATTAAAATGAACTTTTGAAATATCATTTTTTTTGTTTTCATATTTTTTAATATATTTATTTTGTTTGTGCAAAATAAAAAAATAATTTTTAATGATACACTAGCCATGATTATTATTTAAAAAAAATTGTTTTTGTTAGTCTTAACATCAACAAAAATTCAATATGGCAGCCACATGCAACAGGGAAAAATTTCAACGTGGGATAGGTTAAGACTGTTACCCATGCTACACCATGCTTCGAGACAAAATTTCATTTATTTGTAATTAGAAATAAATATTTCACAATATATAATTACATATTGTTTTTGTGATTAATCACTATGCTTTATCAGATATTTACATCATGATTCATAACAGTAGCAAAATTAGTTATGAAGTAGCAACGAAAATAATTTTATGGTTGGGGGTCACCACAACATGAGGAACTGTATTAAAGGGTTGCGGCATTAGGAAGGTTGAGAACCACTGATCTACATTGATGTACTGTACAATATTAAACATAGTCAGTCCTTGATTTTATTTAAGAAATATTTATTTATTAGTCTAGTGGCCAAACTACCCAACTTACCAATTACAATTAATTTTGTACAGTTCATTCTTATTTTCTGTACATCATTTTGAGAGCAATGGCTGTTGTTTAGAAGTTAGAAATAGGATTTTTAGTGGTCACGGTTGTTGATTAGAGATTGTTTTATATGTTTGTTCAAAAAGAAATGTTCCTGAAATAGTTATTTGTGTATTTTTGTTTTTAATAGTAAATTTAAATATTAAATAAGTATTTATTTAAATATCCTTCTGCTTATATTCTATAGAATTTGTAGTATAATATAGTGACATACTTGATAATAAATAGATAAATTCAACACAAAAATGAAAAATTTTTGTATATAGCAAGTCTGCAGTCAAATTTGCAATGACATTAAAGCTATAAGTATGACATTGCATACAAAACCCATGTCATGTATTTCCATTTTGTGGTAGATGGCATTACTGCTTGCTCACAAATGTTCCAGTTTTGGACTATTTTTGAAGATTTTGCCGATTGCATAATCTTCTGTGAAATCCAGCTCACACAGTCTCTGGATCTCACTTCCTGGATTTTGGGACTTGGGAACATTTCTGGTAAACACCAGGAGAAACTGCAGCATCATACATAAAACTTCACTTTCATTAAAACCTTACATAAACCTTTTCCACTGCACTGTAACTTTTTGGACATACTGTATGTAAATAAGGATTATATTGTGATACCAAACAGAGATAAATACTATGTAAAATCATCTAACACAGTACAGACTCACAAGACTGTATATTGTTTGAAAAACTTAAATATTTTACTTTAACAAACAATATTACCATTTTATAAAAGCAAAATTGGTAATGTATTATATAAATGGTAATGTTATGGTAAAGTGTTAAGATAGGAAAAAAAATGTACTTTAAGTTTCTTATGAATAGTTAGTCCTTTTTTTTACATTTAAATAATGTACAGTAATTAGAATAAATAATTTTATTTTTTTAAAGAGCTGTATTAGTAAAGAAAGAAGATGGTTCTGTTGTCAAGTTGAGTCCCACAAATCACATACAAAGAGAAGCAATTGCAAAGAAGTTATTGACGCCATCACATTTCAACAAAAAATCACAGGGAAATAAAATCGTCTATCGTCATCTTCAGAGTGGTGATATCCTATTATTGAATCGACAGCCAACTTTGCACAAACCTAGTATTATGGGTCACAGGGTATGTACCATAACTGATAAAATTGCTCATTAATATATATGTATATATAAATAACCAAGCTGAACTTTATAACAATTGAATATCTTTCTAGACATACATTTGTTTTACATTAGCATACCTTTAATAGTTATCATGATGTTATGACTTGAATATTTCTTTAACATTACTCAAATTATAACAATAATTTTTAATCAAATTGTTAATGCAAAAGTAATGAATTATTTTCTATATATATTTATTTATTTATTTTACTCTAAGGTACGAGTTTTACCAGGTGAAAAGACACTGAGACTCCATTATGCCAATTGCAAGTGTTACAATGCTGATTTTGATGGCGATGAGATGAATGTCCATTTTCCTCAGAGTGAATTAGCCCGTTCTGAAGCATATAATATTGCTAGTGTCAATTATCAATATTTGGTACCGAAAGATGGCACTCCGCTGAGTGGTCTGATTCAGGATCACGTTGTATCCGGTTCTCTGCTTAGCATGAGGGGTACATTTTTTACCAGGTAAATAGGAAGTGTATAAAAACAAATATGTTGCTTATTATGCTCATAATTTATAGTTCTGTAATATAATTATTGTCATATATATTAATATTCAGTAGTTGATTTAGAAACTACATCTGAACAAAATGAATTCTAGAATAATTATAATAATAATTCCAGAATATTTGTATTGAATAGCATATGAAAGAGACCAAACATTTATGATAATAAGGTAGGAACACAGGAAATGTTTTCTGCTCAGAAGCATTTGCCATTTTACTGTTCCCGTTTTCTGAACAGAGATACATTAGCTAATTAGACAACTGAACAAAATACAAAACATTTATCAAGAAATGTTATGTCCATTTTTCCATTATATTGTTTGAATAATGTGACATTGTGATGATGATTAAAATGATTGCTCTGAACGATTTTTGTTGCATATAAACAAACAAACATCACGAAACCTGATACATTTGTAAAGCCAAACAACAACTGGATTACATTGAGCTACTTTTCTGTGATTATATTTTACATAGTTAAATGTAGGCGTGAATGTAATTCATTGTAATAATTAACTACTAAATAATTTGTCACTAAAGGGAGATGTTAAGTATCATCTCTTATTAAATTTAATAATTATAATTAAATTAATATTTATTAAATAATTTAGAATATTCTGGAAGAAAAGAATCTGCCTGGAGTGGGACTTGAACTTGCTTACTGTGCAGATGCATTGCCAATTAACCTACCTGAGCCTCCAGTCCGATCACTTCCAGACATATTTAAATACGATATAACCATCCTTGATTACTTACGGTGTCCTCGTCCTATAAACTCCTACTTGTGGCACTTAGCCTTTTATTTAATAAGAGATGGCACTTAATACTTCCTTCTAGTGACAAATTATTTAGTAATTAATTTAAATATAATTATGGAAAAGTAGCTGATGTGATCCAGTGGTCATTTGGCTTTGTTGCATAATGGGAACAGACAAGTTGAGAAGTGTTTAACTCTGTTTTCAGTTGTAAATAATTTTTTTTTGTCATTAAATGCATTTTTTACTTACGAAACACTGCATTATTAAGTTCTACTCTGCATTATTATCCACCTCTACTCTGACTCACTCCTCCCAATCTCTCTCTCTCATTTTTCTCATTTTCCCCCCCTTTCTTTTATGGCTCTTTGTCTACCCTTGTTTAGCTACCTTCTCCCTTTTACAACTCTGTCTCCCCTTGTTTATTACTTTTACAACTGCTCATAAAGGGATTGGATATGGACTGACAAGATCATAGTTAGGAGAAGAATAGGTCCAATATCACTACAGGAGATTTGAAATTATATTAATTTTTTATTAATCCAACGAATTTGAACATGAAAGTGTGTACTAATTATTAAGCTTCTAATCCTGTTTTGTTGCATTCAGTCTTTTACTATTAATTAAATAATAGTTATTTTTAAGGGGAAAATTAAATAATAATTATATTTAAATGAATGTTAGGTAGGTCAGAATAGTCATAAATATTTATTTCATAAATTATCTTTATGAAAGTTTTAATGTATGATAACCCCTTATAGATAACTATTATTTAATAGTAAAAGATTGACATGAATGTGTGTTTAATTGTATTTTTACAATATATAATCCAGTAAAACTGACTGGATTACATACAATTGAATTTGGTTATTATAATAATGGATAATGTTATCGTTTGGCTATTGTTGTCATTATCAGTTAGTCCCAAAACATTGTATATAAAATTAGTTAGAAATAATTTGCATATTATATTCAAACTTTGACTATTGTTACCATATTTACACTAGAAAATTTATATTTAATGCACTTTTTCTTTGAAACTTACAAGGGAACTGTCGGAGTGTCTTTTAATAAATTTTAATAAAATTTAGTTAATAACTACATTAAAAGTATACAAACTCTATTTTAAATTTGTAGCATTCACTAAAAGTGTTGATCAGAGTTATTGGCAATCAAATGCTGCACTACTTTATACTAGTTTAACACAATTATGCAAATTTTAAGAAGTGAAAGGGTCACGGAGGAAGACGGCGATATTACATTTAGAATAAATTCTGGAATTTTCAAAAATGGGAGAAGAATTAATNAAATAGTTTCCATTATTCGACTCAAATAATTTAGTTGTTGAGCCATAAAATGCCAAGCCACTTTTAGACAAAAAAATTATTGTTGAGACAATCCTTTTTAATACTTCTCTCCAACACAGTTTTTCCGTCTTTCATTGGTTGTTGATTTCTACATCAATTCGACCCTTCGAATTTGATTTAGCAATAAATGTACCTATACAAGTTCTATGGTCAATCGAATTTTCATGACCTTTTAACTATTGTGAAAAGAACATGTGCAGATATTTAATGAGAAACACAAAAAACTGAGATGTATTATCTACATCAGCAGTTCTCAACCAATGGGTCACGACCCCTTTCGGGGTCGAACAACCCTTTCACAGGGGTCACCTAAGACCATTGGAAAATACATATTTCCAGTGGTGTTAGGAACCGAGACACCTCTCCTCTATTCATCTCCAGACAAGTCTGCCCACATGCAGATATTCCCACATAAGAGTACCCAGCGTGATGGCATCATTGCACCAACTCCATCACATACACCCCATACAAATACAAGTGTTTGTGACAGGGTTGGTGCCATAATGTGCTTTTGCGGACCAGTCACACATTAATACACTGGTGACTTGATACATGTTCTTAAATATGCTACAAATTTAAAATAGAGTTTGTATACTTTTAACGTAGTTATTAACTAAATTTTATTAAAATTTATTAGAAGACACTCCGACAGTTTCCTTATTAGTTTAATGGACATGTACGTTTTATCTTCTTTATACTGTAAGGGCACAAGAATTTTAGAAAATATGCGTACCATAGATCTTTACTTAAAGCATATCTTTGTGGATGAGTATTCCTGTTGTGATTTCTCTAGTTTTATTCTGTGATCTGTTGAGTTAAAAATAGTTGTTTATGAGAAATGTAGAGTAAGTAAATGTGTAACATTGTATTAAATGTACAGTATATTCTGCAATAAATTTAAATTGTATGCATTAATATTGTAATTGTTTGTAATAAATCAAGTTCAATAATGAAAATTTTTTATCCTCTGTATAATGTTATCAAAAGTTGCAAGTCCCAAATTGATCATAATAAGCAGATTCCATTGTATTATGAAGTTCGTAGTTCAAATTATCTTCTATGTTGATACTTTTCTATTCTTTATAAATTAAAGTTATTTATCCGTTATTATCATTACGTAAAATATGTTTATTGCAAAGATTTATTTCAAATCAATTTTGATTTGACTGACTAAAATTAAAATAATATAAAATTTTAGTAATTTTATCAATAATTATTCTTGTATGTCTTTAACATATATAAAGATACTTTTTGTTTGTTTGTGTGTATGTGTGTGTGTTTGTGTTTTAATTTTTTAATTGAGGTGGAGCATTAGCAAAGCCTCTTCTATGTGGCATACAATATTGCATTTGACCTCAAAATTTGATTGATCAGTTTTGATTAAACTTTGCCATTTTCCTTTTATTGTGATGAGGATTCCAAAAAACATTATTAAAAATGGACTGTGACTTTGTTTTTGGTATACAGTGGAGTTGAAGTTACAATGTCCATATTCCCTAATGTGATTGAGTGTGCCAAATGGAAAATAGGTGCAAAAACCAAACAAAACACAAGAACAGAGGAATCAATGGTAGTTTCTTTATTCTTTGTTCTTGGATCGCATCTTCTGTAGCCAGTAGCAACACGGATTTGCTTCTCCCATGGCCAGAAGTTTTTCACAACCCTGCTTGCAGGGTTGTGAAAAGACGGGCAGAGAGAGTATATGCTCAGTTACCAAGACGATGGGGCATCATATTTCAAAATTGTTACATGAGAAAACTAATAAATTCATAAAAAAATGTTACACATAATTATGAAATATAATNAAGTGATATAAGTTGAATTATACCAGTTTTCACAGGACACACAGATATAAAGATAAATATTAAAATTATTTACTTATTGTTAAACAGAAAAATACAAAACATGTACTTCAAAGAAAGAAAAACTATAACTGCAAAAATACGTTATAATATATCCAATCCAAAATATAACATGTATAAAAAAATATAACATAGAAATATAACAATTATTTCTATATGGTTATCTTTTAAATAGCATTAAACTGAAGCCACTTGTTACGAATCTCATTAATGTAAATATCTGTATTATACATGTTATTTATAATCTCAAAAGAATCTGCACTATGTGCATCTGTTTCAGTAAATAAAAAATTAAAAATGTTGTTAATAGATGCATATGCTGTTTTTCTCCTAATCAACTCGTTGACTAAAGAATTGCATATTACATAAAAAGTATTTATTTTGAAATAATCCTTGGCAGAAAATTGAATATCATTGTCACAATTATCATCAAATTGGCACTTTTGTTTACAACTTCTCTGAAAATTAGTCAAATAAATTGCATCTTTAAAATTGCCACGTAATTCTTTAGCTTGTTCTTCAATAGAATCAAAATTGTTTCTTAATTCCTAAACAAATCCTATAAGACTTTCAGATAAAGGGCAAGCTACATTTAAATTACCAGTTATTTCTTGCAACGATTTGCTTGTTGCATTAATCCTGTTTAATATTTTGTTCCACAACACAGTCATTAAGCAAAATTCAAAACTTTTCATATCATATAAACATCTTGCTTCTATTTGGGTTAATCTTTTTTGACACACATCATCTAATTTTTAAGTGCTGATTTAATTTCATTGAATTCATTGATAATGACTTTA